TCATTCAAGCCTGGTGTTTGCTTGGCTTTTGTGCATGCAAGCCATGTAAAGTGCTAGGCCTTCAGGCTACTGTTGCCATGGCCATGGCTTTGCCAGATTGCTTTTGCTTTATGGTCAAGCATCAAGGCTTCTGGTTTGATGAACTTTCCTCAGCTTGACAGTATATAGGTCCCATGTGAGTACTGAACCTCTGGCTTTCATTGCAAACAGTTAACTGGAATGGTGAAGCCTTGTTGGATGAGCAGGTCCTTGGTAGCCAGCCAGGCTTAAACTTACAACCAAGATGGTGCTGACACACGCAATGAAATTCATGTCATGGTAGCCATCTGGCTCATGTTCCATGAAGATTGCATGTCGTGGTAGCCACCTGGCTTATGATCCATCAATCATGCTTATGAGCAGCATGAGCTTGCCTTGACTGGTCACGCATGTGCTTTTGTATCATGAGCTCATATGGCTTATCCATTTTAATAAATGCACATGCACAGCTTTGATTTGCATAATGCTGAGCAGCACTGCCAAAGCCTATATCTATTTTCTCAAAATGCTCTGGTGAGTCTAAACAAATTGCTGCCAACAAGGCAGAATAAAAAACCATAAATCATATGTTTGACCATCACTCCAAATGTAATAAACCTAGCATGTTTTTTTTGCTAACCACTTAGCTAACCACTTAGCTAACCCCTGGCTAACCCCTGGCTAACCTCTTAGCTAACCCCCTAACTTAAGCCCTTAGCTAACTAGTTAGCATTTGTTAGTATATATTATATCTTTGCCCCTATGTCCTACTAACTCTAGCAAACCCCCGGTGCATCCCAGCTTGGGTGGCTTCAGCACGTAAAGGCAGGCGCCCAGATACCGGCTCCGAGCTACCTGCGTTGTGCATGCGCGCAAAAACTCACAGACAGATCCTGCGCATAGAGAATTGCCTGGACTTTCACAGAGAGCTTGCGCGGAGACTCGTGGAGAGAACTTGCAAAGGGAACTTGCGCAGACCTTGCGTAAACCACCGGCGTGCGAGTACTTTTGCTTAAGACTTGGTCGGTGTCTGCTTTCCGGCCACCCACTGTCTATGCGTTTCTTCTCTTTAGCGCGTTCTTAACCCTGACCCTTCCACACCACCCGCCTAACGCAAAGCCCCCTCCACCCCACCACTCGTCCCTTTAGGATATTTAAATCAACTGTTTCACAGTGCTTATGCAGGGGATGGCCATACCTATCAGCTAAAGTGCTATCACCATGTTTTCAGAAGTGGTATGCGTTGAACAATGGCCCACATAATGTTGTTTCGCCCTGGTTGGTTCGAGAAGTAAACCCACCACATCCAGCCACAACATCCTACCAGGCTGCCATTGCTCCCTTTGGCCCTTCTGCAGCACATTTCTATTGGTTGATTCCTTGTCCATTCTTTTCAACCATCGTTCTTTTCAAAAACCGGATCTGTTTCTCCTGGGTTTTTTGATGGTTTTCTGAGAAGAAGGATCCGTGGAAAGAATGGAATTGGAAGCTACCCCAAGAGTCTTTCATCTGCTTAAGATTTGTTTAAATCACCCTTGGTTTTAAAGGGAATCTGTCACTACTGGGCATTTGTTTAGGGGAGCTACCCCTACAAACTGAGAGCCCCGCCGCCGTTTCGGAGGAGTACATCATGAATGCTGGCCACCACGGCACGGGCGCTCGGAAGTTCCCCCCGGTTCCGCCGAACGCTCGGCTGCGCCAGAAGCTGCGGCCCCCCTTGGAGAAACAGGACCTGCGCCCCGGATGGGAAGAGTCATGTTGAGCCCATAGCAGGGCTCCTTAAAAGAAATTCATGTTGCAACCATTTGAAACATGGTTCTGTTTCCACCAAAATCAAGTGAAACCACCATTTACAAGGCCAGGTTCAGGTGTATAGTGTGAGGATCCCTGCATAGGTGTCCTTTTTGGATGGCGATGCCTGGTTCACCTGGTGGTTTAATCATCTATCAGGGCCATCTATTTCCCCTAAAAGGACACCTGTGGTTGAGCCCCTAAAAAATAAATCCCTGTTTATCAATATGGGGGTGTTCCCCTCCAAAAGTGAGAAACCCTCACTAAAACCAGGGACACCCCCCATATGAATAAGCAGGGGTTTATGAATCCGGGGTCAACATTATAAAAGAGTGAGTGTCTACGAATTCCCTGGGGACGCAACCTTTTTTTGTTTAGAGCGATAGTTGAAACTAATGGGGAATCAAGCCCTGGACTAACATCATGGCAGTTTGGTCAGGATTTGTCATGTTGGGCATCTTATCGTGAACTTGTGCTACTGGCCACCGGGTTGGATCCTTAACTTTGAACTGTTGGTGAAAATTACCATGTTACCACCATGCTGCCAGATTCAAAGTTTTGGGCAGAGGGCGCTCAGCATGGGAAGCCGAAGTCGGGCAGGCTTCGGTATGTGCCAGGGAGCTGCCAAGCAGTCCTGTACTGCTTTGTCTTCCACCTGCTCGGTCTCAGTCATCATGACCAGCCGTCAGTCATCATGATCAGCACCGCAACACTACCACCATCACCGCAATCATCATGATCCTCATCATCCTCACCGTAATCATCATCATCATTGTCAGCGTCAGCATCAGTGTTGCAAACAGTCACCTTTTGCAATGCTTCATTCGACACCGCGCTACCAAAACACCTCCTCACGGCGACTTGTTCCTCGTTCTTCATTCATCCACCATCAGCTTGTGTTCCGCCACCGTCATCGCCACCTTGCGCATCATGCAACCTTTTGCATCATTTATCATGTGCACGCAGCCAGGTTCCATGAGCATCTCAGACTGGCTTCTTGTTTGTCATCCTCTTCGTCTTTTTCCCTCCGCCTCCCCACCATCCTCATCCTCATCCTCATACTCTTCATCGCCATCGCCATCAGCATGATCCTCCTCGTCCTTGTCATCGTGACCATCATCACCATGACGAGCAGCACCACGTTTCATCGTCCACCGTTTGGTTCCACCACCTCATGTCATGCTTCATTGTCACCCTTCATTGTTGCTTAGCATTCAAATATCCTGAAGGGCGATCAATCACAGCAGCAGCAGTTGATACCAGAATTTCGGTTGCCAATGCTGCGTGGCATTGGGTTGCAATTGGTTGCACTGCATTTATTTGCCTGCCAGTTGTTTCAGGGTAACTTGCGTTGATTTTCATAGGGCTGATCCATGAAACACGGTGCTGCTTTCTGTTCTCAGGGGTCGTACACAGACCTGTCAGCGCTGTTTGCTCTGAAGCAAACTTCGGGACTTGCATTTGTTTGCATCGTTTGCGGGTTCCCTCCTGACAGCCAACATGAAGGCTTCAAAGAGAGACGTGTCATCAGATGGGTAAAGCAAACAGTCTCGAACATTCTCAGTGAGCCCTGCAATGGTCCGCTTGCAGTTTCTAGCGGGGAATTGGGGACAGATTGGATAAGCTGAACAGGTTGGGACTGTTGCTCCCCGAAATTCCTACTGTCCAAAACGGGCCAACTATGAAGTATTTGGTGTAATCTTGCCTTGGTAAGGCCTATTCATCCTGAAGTGTTTGGGGGTGCTGAGGTTTGAGCAGTGGCTCCTGGATCATCCGGACTACGCAAAGGGCATCTCGAGCGAGTGGTGCGGCCAGAAGATCGTGGAACAACAGCTCGGTCACCTCAGCGAGGAAAAATGAAGCGAGCTGGCCATGTTCGAAGGGTTTCATAGCGGCCAGGGTCCAACACCCACCAAAAGTGAGGACTTCCTGCAGAAATCGTAGCGCTGTTCTTGGGGCTGGCGCAACAAATCCAAACTCCGGCCGCTTCAAGAGGGAACTCCGGTGATGTCCTGGAGCCGCCGGGAAGAAAGGGTGAAGTCAACATGACAAAGAAAGTTCGGCGCCTGGTTGGTTCCATGTAGGTCCTTGTCACAAGAAATACTTGCAGTTGGAGGTGGCCAATGCGGAGGTTGCGCCACCTTTGGAAGCCAATTGAAGCCCTCCAAGCTGTGTTTCAGTTGGTTCCCTTGGCCCAACGGGGTATGAGTGTCCAGCTTGTTCTGGCGCCGCAAAGTTATCCATCATGTCCATGGCGTTTGGGCAGGTGGCAGGCAGAGGTGTCGCAGGATTTCAGGTTAAGCCAAGGAAAGCAGTGACTGCAAAAAAGGGCATTGCACCGGCCCCAGCCCCGTGTTCAATCTGGAGCCCGCTTCGTCGTCTTTCCACGGACCTCTTAGCTCAGAATGGAGTTGGCACAAAAGTTGCACACGGCGAGCCACGTGCAACTATTGTGCCACTTCCTGGTCCCCGTTTAAAGGCGGTGGCAGATGTCGCCAATTTGCTGCACGCTTCAAAATCTTCAGAGTGGTCGGTTCCTTTCTTTCTTGGGCTTGACTTCCCATGCTCTTCAACCATAGTTTTTTTCAACAAGCAGCTTTTTTGTTTGTTTTTCCTTTTAAATAATGGTTGCCTGAAAAGAATTGCTGGAAAGAATGGGGAAGCTACTTCTAGACTCTTGGGAAAGTATGATGGAATTCACGTTTAGAGTAAAATCACCTGGGCCTTTGCAGATCCTTTCGGTGAGCCTGCTTTGAGCCCTGCTTGTTGCTGCCTGCGTGTCAGCTACAAAGATAGATACCTATGAAATGAGGCGCCTTTGTACTTATGCATTTTGCATATGTTCATACGAATATGTTTTCATATATATATACATCGATGTGCTAAATATCTATACATAGCTATAGATATAGATATAGAAATAGGTGTGCTTATATACAAATATGAATGCATACATATGCACAAATGAATACATGTATATATATATATATATATATGTGTGTGTGTGTGTGTATACATATACATGAATGGTTCACGTTGATGTATGCCGTTGTGGGTTGACCCTGATAGGGAGGTCGCCCGTGGCACAATGACACAGCTGACCTTTTTTTCCCCGAGCTGCCGAGGAAGCCTTGATCGATGCCTGGGCCGAGCAAGGCGAGCCGAGTCAGGCCTACGGGGTGCTGAAGCTCATGACGGAGGCTGCGGGAGCAAGACTTTGGGTCGGTTCTGTGCATGTCGCAAAGGTTGTGTGTCTGCTTCTCAGATAGCTGAGAGCTATAGGGATTCTAACGTCCAATAAAGAAGGGGAAAATGATTTGTGAGATTGGCTGGGTGCTAGCCACTAGACCCCCTGGAACAAACCTCGAAAGGATTCTTGCCACACATCAGACGAAATAAGGGGTAAACAAGCCCAAAATAGGCTTAACCATCATGATTGGTCTTTGAAATTTCGGTCTGGGGGTCAGCTGCATTTCGTTCAAGAGATGCCCTTATAGCTTCAACTTTGACTTAGGCAGATGCACGACTTCCCATTTGAGATTTCATGCCCACTGACAAAAAAGAGAACTGCGCAATCTACTCTTACAGTGGTGCAGGAAACCTGTCTTTTGCACCAAAAAGCACCAAAAAGCAGGCCGTGGGGTCAAATAAACAAAACAGGGTCTGAGGGTCTGTTTTCTGCAGTACGCTATTCCATGCAAGGTGGCCGCGTGACTTATAAGCAACTTGCAACATCACTTATAAGTTCAATAACGTGACCTGTAAGTGGGGCAAGTACATCCTAACTACGATAAGTTCGGGGGAAACGTATATGTTACTTAGGTACTTAGCAAGCACTTAAGTAACTTTGTGCAAAAAGTTAGAAACTAGTTAGGGGCTAGATAGCTTTTACGATTTTGGAATCGATTCTTCTCGGGGCACAAATAAGTCTCCCGTGGCTTTCTCAAGTATATTTTTAGAAGTGAGCACGCGTGAACTGCTGAAAAGCTGCTCCCCAAAGTATCACAGTGCCTCGGATCGCAAAACCATTGTTTTTGTTGATCTTCTGGAAAGCTGGGGCGTGCGCCGGCGTCGCCTTCATCATGTCCATAGGAGGATCTATATATGTACGCAATAGATTTTGTCAGGAGCATCCATTCAGGCGAAAAACACATGCGTGCGCGGACGTTTTGAAAGTGCACGTGTAAAAGGACTACGCGCACGTCGACCACGTGCAGCTCTGTGATCACTCGGTATAGCGGCCGCGCCGCTTTGTGATCACGCTGTGCGTGACAGCAGCTCAATTTCAGCCGGCAGCAGGGTTCTGCGCATTTTCTATAGCGGCTGCGCCGCTCCGGAATGTATAAAGCGACACAGCGACGGCGCCGAAGGCCCCAGCAAAAATGGACAAATATCTTCTGCCACGGCAGCGATTGCTCGCCATATTCTGGCCGCGGATGCGGCATCCAGAAAAGTATCTGCCGCCTTCAGGCTGCCACTTTTTCGCTGGCAGGCGCCAGGATCCCGACTCCTGCCACCCAGACTGGCAGCTGCCAGATCCAGCTCCGGACTGGCAACTGCCAGCTGCAGACTGGCAGCTGCCAGTTCGAAACTGGCAACTGCCAGCTCCAGTCTGGCAGCTGCCAACTGCAGAGTGGCAACTGCCATCTCCAGACTGGCGGCTGCCAGCTCCAGACCGGCGTGGCAAACAGCACTTGAGGCGCAGTGGCCCATACGCCTATGCAGTCTCCTTCCAAGTGGCGGCATTTTCCGAGGCGTTTTTTCTCTGAGCTGTTCCTTACTGTTGGTAAGTTGTTGGCAACCGTTCAGATACAACCCACTTCTAAGTCCCCCGTGGCTCTGAGGTTGACAACTTGCTGGGTGAAAAACGTAAAATGTTACTGTGGATGGATGAAATCCATTTCGCGCCACGTAAAAAAGCCAGACATGATTTGATTCCCCCATGCACATACCAGCAAACACTGGTTTCAACCATAGGTTCAAAGTGGTGCGAACGGATCCATCCACTTGTTGGGTGAAAACCTCAAGCCTTACTGTGGACGAAATCCATTTCGCGCCACCCAAAAAAACTGAAATATTTTGATCCCCCCTGTAAAACCACCACAAACGCCATGGCTTCGACCAGGATTTCCCTTCGCGACCGCGGTCTCGGATCTACGTCGAACGAGGCCTTCGCGCCCACGGCGGTGTCCTACGCGGCGGTGCTGAAGGCCATGGTCCGCGCCGGCCAGGCGTGGTGGAATGCGGGTGGTCGCGTTGATGGTTGGATCCGAGGGCAGGCGTTTCAGGACACCGCGAAAATTCACAGGTGCTTTGCCTGAGAAAAAACAGGAGGTGGGCTTTTGGGCTGGCAAGAAACAAGACTGAAAGAATAAGAGAAAGAAATTGGGGGGGGGGGGGTGGTTTTGCCGCATACCCGCTTTGTTTGCAACCAGATACGAAACCAGGATTAAGAACCTCCGCAGCCAACATTTAGGGAGTGCCCCTCGTCTACCGAATGAAGTCTTGGGGAAACACCGCCAATCCAGAAAGCGAATTCATCCGAGGAATGAGGAGAGGAAGCAACTAGGATCATATGACCTTCTGGGAGCTTGGTGTTGGACAGGGTCCCTGATGCGGGGTTAGTCCACTTGCGGCAAGCCAGAACGGGAAGCCTTGTGCAACTTTTTGGGTGCTTGGCAACACACCCCTTTCGCCCTTGCAGATTGTTTTTAACTGACATCACAATTGGACGGGGTCAACTTTGAGTGAGTTGTCCTTTCATGTTAACTTCGGATGAATCCATGGCTCCCTACTTAGCAGAGGAACCCGATGAACTGCCCACTAGAGGTGGAACCTCAGCTTCTAGCAATATGATAGCACGTTCAGAGATTCTAGCTTCTTGTTGTGATTCAATGTTTTCGTTGTTGGTAACGCTCGTCGTGCCGCTTCTGCCCTCGTTGTTTAGTTGCAATGCTTTCTCCTGTAGCCGGGCTTTGGCCCCTTTTGCAAACCCAGCGGCCACTGTGTGCAATATATTGCTTTGGAGTTTGGCAAGCTTACTGACATTTTGATTGTATTGGGCATCTCCTGCTTGGATTTGCCGGGGGGGCAGGCCGGTTCAAGGCTTTCGTGCTTGTGCGGTATGTGTTAGTTTTTTGGTGTTTGCTCCCATCCAACGCGGTCACCATGCTGCGCTTGAGGCAGTAGTGTTGCCAGTTGTTTTGTTTTTCTGCTTTTTCCGCATCCCACGACGCAAGAGGCCATCTGGCTGCGCATCCGCCATTGGAGCCTTGCTCCTTCAACGGGCGCAAAGCCTTTGAAAGAACTTATCCATGACCCACTCACACCCCTCACTGGGCGGCCTAGCAATTCCGTTCGTTGGGATGTTCCATGTACTGTCTCTCTGTGAAATGGGGGGGGGCATCAGACCATTGCCAGCAAAAGTTTTGCCCAAAAACGCCAGAGGCACGGCAACTTGTTACACCCGCAGGTCGAGAGGGCCCAGACCTTTCTGGAGTCGGTTGAAGCCGGAGGCTTCGGCTTGCCGCCTTCGGGGCGCCTTGAGACACGGTTTGGTTGCGCTCGTGTTGAGTTGGCTTTCTGTTTTGGCTCGTGTTTTGGCTCACACAAGGCGGCTCTGGTGTTGCAACTTGGCCCATAGATGCAGGTCAAAAGCTTCAATGGTATACTTCACTGTTGGGCATCTACTTGTTGTGTTTAATTTCAGAAATCTTGAGCCGCTTTCTCAAAGCGCATCGAGCGCACGGAGTTTGCCGACTTGTTTTTGGCTTCAAGCCTGGAAGCGGCCGAAGAGCTCTGCTGCCTAAAAAATACATCTTTGTTCTACTGCCCCATAAAGGAAGCCTCACAAAAAGAAAGCGCAGGTGTTGAATTTGTTCCGCAAACATATGGCCGCCTGACCCTGGCGACGCCTAAAACGCGACCCGCGTTTTGGGCCCAAAGGCACCGCAGCTTGACATGGCTACGCAGGTCACCCAGTCAACGAGGTCTCGTGGCGCGGCTGCAGAGTTTTTGAAAAAATGGAGCGGGACGCCGTCGTCCTCCATTTGTTTAAGACTTGTTTTTGCCCTTCTTGGTTTTAAAGTGGTCTTCCATTTGCTTGAGATGTTTGTTTTTTTTAAAGGAGGGAGGGCTGAAGCAAATGGAAGTCGTGCCAAAAATGGGGCCCCGTTTTTGGTTGAGTCCAAAACTTCTTGGGACCAAAATACAAGATCTGCTGGTGCCATGGCTGCCAATGTGTCAAAGGCACGATGTACCATGGCCAAATAGGGGTCTGACAGGATCCTTAGAGCAATTGCGTCCTTGAAGGGTTTTTACCGCGGTGGCAAAAGTTGAGCAAAGTGAGGCACATGCAGTTGCGACGTTTGACTGCGGGAAGCCAGACCTCTTGCCGGCGGGTTCCACCTTCAAACTTGTGGAGGAGTACTTGCCAACATGCATGTGCGTCAGCTATTCTGACGCAAAACTTGGTGCCACCAATGGCAACAGGGCATTCACGCGAAGGAAACCATCTCAGGCACAAGGGCCTTTAGGTCGCAACCGGTCATGGCCACGCATAGCTTTGTCCTTTAAGGTATTAGTCCGGGATCACCATGAGGCGTGCTCAATGAACAATGTGCGAGTTGTTTGGGTTTCATGCAACCAAGCCCCGAAGCTTCTCTCAGAGGGGGTGGCTGGAGGTATACCACCGTCATCAAGGGGTGGTCTGAGAAAGGAGCGGGGCGCAAGGCGCAAAGTGCAGCGGGCTTCGGTTTAACCCACGCCACGGCAACTGGAGGGGGAGGGTTGCAAGTCCCCGATAAAGCGACCCTTTCCCACATCTTGCCCCTTTGTTTACAAGGGGGCAATTGTTGAGGTGGGGAGCTCAAACACCAGGGGTGCTTCCTCTAAAACGGGGTGATGAATTCTGCATGTCAAATCGCTGGCCTGGTGAGCAGCCAGCTGGTTTCGACAGGAGACCTCCAGAAAGCCATGCGCCTCATGGCAGAGATGGAAGACAGGCGGCTCGGGATCGAGTTGCCCTCCAGATGAAAGTTCAATATATAGATCTTTTGGGGTCCCAGGGTTTCATTTTTCATTGCATTCTGAGATTTCAACACGGGTTTGTCGTGTTGTGGGGTGGGGCTTTGTCGAAATTAGGTTTCCACTGTGGGGCCCTTCTGCGGCCCTTTCTGCATCCTGCCACTCTTGTAACGAACCAGCCTGAGCTTTTTTGGGGGGGAGTGCCAGCCCATCGCATGTCAAGCTGCTTTGATTCCTCATCCCTTTTGTTGGTGTTTGAGTTTTACCTCGCTCTCTTAACTATCTATACCTTGGGACTCCTCAAATGTGCCATCGCCAAAAACCGTCTCTTTTCTTCAGTTTCCAAATGGGAGCCATGGACGTGCGGGGGGAGTGCGGATGCGCCTGAGAGGGGCTTCAAGCCGGACGTGGTGACCTTTACCTCCATGATGTCGAGCTGCGACGCGAGAGCCGCCAAAGAGCTGCCGCTGAGAACGCATCGCAAGCCGTCGCGCACGAAGTTGGGCGGTCAAAGCCTAAGGCGTTTGGGCGACTGTTCTGAGGTATGTTGAGCTATCACTTTCATGCCGGTGCATATCCTGGTTGAAGAATCCCTGTGTTTGTGTCCCTTTGAAATTGGTGAGGGTGTATTTTGCGGAGGCATCGTGGCTTCTACGTGGCAATGAGCCAGTTCATGCGTACGAGGTGCTGAATCTTTGGGAAAGGATGGCTTTGCGAGGCGTTTGCAAAAACAATATCACAGTTGAGAAGGGAAACGTGTTCCAAAAGTGAATGTTTGACCAAGTTGGGCTCAAGCGCACATTTACGAGGTGAAACGCGCGATGCCACGTTCGGGTATGAGGGTCATCGATTGGTAATGTCTCGTTGCCTGGTGGAAACTCGCGTCTTGAAAGCACCAGGTTGCCCCAAAACGTGAACCTCAACCAGCTTCCATTTGGCAAGTGGGCGGAGTAACATGTTTGCCTGTGGGATTGAACAAGTTCGTTTTTCGGCCTCATGGGAAGGAATGAAGACTTTTGATTCAAAGGCTTTTGTTCGATTTGCAGGGGGAAAGGCACAGGGATCCACCCATTTTTGGCCTGCGGCAGCACTCGCAGTGTCGCAGACCCCCTTTTTCATGCACATCCAGGGGCTATCGTGGACAAGCCTAGGATAAGACCCTCCGCTATTGTCGTTTTCGGAGTTCCATGACTTGAGTCTTCGTTGCGAAAGATGCTGCAGACTGTCTCAAGACTTGGAATCATGCGTCAGGATGGAGCAGATGCGGCAGAGGGGCCTGAAGGCGATATCCCGCGGGGGCCAAGGGCAGATCTCGGACAAAGCTGGCTGAGCCAATAAGAAGCCGCGTTGTTTTTTTGTTTGAGTAGTACAGGATTTTCAATCCCAAGTTTTTCAGAGTTCTGGCTCAGTGAAAATATGAGCTTGTGACCAATTATGTTTCTTGGTTTTTTGTGCTGAGTCAGGGCTGCTTTCCAGCTGGCCAAGATGGGCGACCGTCCCTTGGTTGTAAGTTGCAGAACAATCTACAGGTCTAGGTTTGGTCAAGTTCACTTATATACCAAGACCGAGCAGCTAGCAAAAGTGAATATATATATATATATATACATAATCGGCCAGCAAAACATTTTTTATTATTAGGGGTCCCCTGGATCTGGAGGTCAGGTTTTGAAGGGTGCCTCTTGTTTTGAAGGTGCCTTTGGTTTTGGGGAGCTTTTGGCTTGAGGCGCCCTTTGACTTCGACCACCAGACTTTGTAAGTAGTTGGCACAGCCTGCCGGTAGTAAAGGAAACTTGCTCCCGGAGCTCTGGCTCGAAAGTCGCAACTTTGTAGTAAAGCCGTAGTAAAGGAAACGTGCTCCCGGAGCTCTGGCTCGAAAGTCGCAACTTTTTAGTACAGCCGTAGTAAAGGAAACTTGCTCCCGGAGCTCTGGCTCGAAAGTCGTAACTTTGTAGTACAGCCGTAGTAAAGGAAACGTGCTCCCGGAGCTCTGGCTCGAAAGTTGCAACTTTGTAGTACAACCGTAGTAGTTAAAGGAAACGTGCTTCCGGGTCCCCCTGATTCGGCTGGATTTGAGTACGGGCAGGAAAGTGCCTACTTCAGAATTGGTTTAGTGCTGGCTATTCTAAAAGTAGTATTCCCGGATTTGGGACTTCTGAAACAATTATTTATTATTAGGGAGACCTTTTATTAACAAGGGGAAGTGATTATATACATATATATGGGCTTTCCTACGTGTTGGGCCTGTTCCCACCACCGCAGAACTCATATTTTGTTTTACTGATTCAGATTCCCCCTAGCGGAAGTCGAACCACAAGGCGTTGTCGGATATTGCCCAATTCTCCCAGGACCACTCTTTGAAACAGTTGAGTCATAGCGGACAAACTTGCGACACGGCTTTCTAGGTGCGTTGGCTGCCTCAGGAAGGGAGTTCGTAGCCTCACCTATGCAGGCTCCCGAGTTGGAGATTATTTCACGTGCGAAGTACAGTAGTTAGCCCAGATGTGGCCATGCGGATTGGAAGTTCAAATGCGTTTCCAGGCCAATGTCTGCTGCCATGTTGCCCTTGTGGGTTTCCTCCGTTCTCCCTTTCAGCCAGCAAGGCATAACTCAACTTCGGGCCAAGTTTGGCAGGTTGTGGGGGCCAGGGTTCAGGTCCATTTCTGTGATAGCAAGGTGGTCTTCCTTCAATACTGATAACAGGGTCATAGCACGAGAATCCCACTTTGGTATCATATACATGTCCACAAAGACGGCTTGATCCACAGAAAGGGGCTGGCCCATTTTCGTCCAGGCCAGCGTGGTGACCTACACTGCCCTCATTGGGAAGCTGAATGATGGCCCAGAGGTACTGGAGGTGTTGCGACAGATGGAGGAGGTGCGGGCGGGTTGGTTGCAGCATTGGTTGGGACAAGTTATAACGAGCTGTGGGTAAAGGCCCCTTGCTTAGTGGCTTAGGAATAACCTTGGCTAAGGGGATTGCAAAGGAGGATCCTGTTTGAGGGAATTCCTCTGACCTTGTCGGAAATTAGGCCCCGCTCCCCTGGGGTTGTTCGAATGTGCGCAAGCCAGCACCTGGAAAGCCAAATGCAGATGGCAGATGCCAGGGCATGCCAGAGCCAGTCAGACACAGATGCACGGCCCACCAGATCGCCAATTATTTGCAATCAGATGCAGATGACATGCACCAGAGCCAGTCGGATATGCGGCAGGTCTGGTTTGAGAGTCTGCGCGGGGCCAAGGTCTGAATGTGTGTGTGGCTGCCAGCGTCAGGTGCGCGCAGGGTATGGGTCGGAGTGTGGGCCAGTCATGCGGAGGCACGTTTCTGTCTTGATGGGGCCAGGCGCACATGGAAAAGTCAGAAACTGGGTGGAACCACTCGGAACTCGGCAAAGCCGAGCTTAACTCGGAAGCTGGAGAAGCGGGGCTCAGAAAGAACCTGAGCGAAGGACAAAAAGCACTGGCCAGAAAATCCTAGACAAACTCGGACAAAGCCCAGAGCAGCCGGAAAGCTCGCAAAACAGGGCGGAAGCCAAGACTTGGACAAACTGCGTGGCATCGCAGCCAAACTGGCAGGACGAACTCGGGAAAGCAAGTACACCCGGAAAAGCTTGGAAGGACTGGGCTGCAAAACTCGAAAAACTGGAAAACTGGCAAGCTTTGGAAAAACACAACTCGGAGAACGGGGGAAACTCGAAAACACCTGTGCAGAAAGAGCGGAAAATGGAGGCAACAGAATCTGGGCAGGAAAGCTCGGCGGAAATTTTCGGCACAACTGGGCGGGAAAAAATCGGCGCATCTGGGCGGAGAAGAGCTGGCCAGGAAAAGAGCGGAAAACTGTTCTGAACAACTCAGAAACAACTTGGCGGAAATGACATCTAAGAAAGTCGAACCTAAGTGTTTGCATGTTTATGATGGTTGGATCCATGTGCGATGTGAAACTTTTTGGAATCAGCAACTGTTGGAATTCATTTGAAGTTCCAATAATTGGTGGGGCCCAGATTTTGCATGTATTGGAACTCAATCCCAATAATTTCAGCCCAATAGCTGCAATTGTGATCTTTTCAACTACTGGAAACAATTGCAAAAAACTGTTTTTTTGCGGATTGGCCCCGTTATCACCCAGCCAAAGAGTTCCAATGCTTGCAAGGGGTGTGGGTCCTGGGTTTCCAATTAGTGCAAGCATTGGAATTCAATCCGATGGCAACAAGTGCAATTATTGGGGGTCCTGGACTTACTTTCATTGAATTGAGTTTCAATAAGTGACTGCGGCTGCCTGAATATAGGAATTGAATTCCAACACTTGAATTTGAATTCACTCCGCCAACCAAAAAAAGCAACCCAGCCAGAACACATGATCTTCAGAGTTCTGCGCTGCAAGGGGTCCATTCTTTGCCCCAACAAAGCGGGTCAGCAGCATCCCCCCCTCCTCACGAAGTTCACAGCCCCACGACAAGTCTGAACATTCTGGCCATTTCAAGGCAAATCAAGGCGATGGATTCTTCGCGTGAGACATTCCATTTTGCATCGGCCAGGAAGGCATCTCACCCACAGTGGCCACGTACAGCTGCGCGGTCAAGATTTGCGCCCAGGCCGGGGGGCTGCGCTTAGGCCCCGTAGATTGAGCCATCCCCCATAACCCCGTTTTCAGATGGCAACTCCTTTTAAGTACTCCAGGATAGGCTTGAGTCAAGCTGGGTGCGACTCTCTAGTTTGGATGTGATCAGCCAGCTCAGCAAGTGGACGACAATCAAAGCAGCCGCGCGCACATGCGTGCTACCGGTCAGCGGGTAGCCTGGATTGTATTATTTGAACAACGCGGATGCACAGAGACATGACAAGTTTAATGCGACAGGGAGCAAATCAACCACAACACACCGAGCCAGTTCTGCTAGTTGGGTGGTTCTGGGTTCTGTTGCATTGGGGCGGGAGATCCTAGCGCTAAGGTGTCCCCATTTGGTGGGCTTCTTGAGGCTACCTGATGGGCCATCGGCAGGCGCCACATGCACGCGCTACAAGTAAACATGTTTGGGGGCTGAGCTACGGCCGATGGAGTTCGTTGAGTAAAATTCCTTGCCATTTTCACCGGCACGCCATGCAAAGCATGCGCAACCTGCTAAACTACACTTGTTCATCACAACTGGCCCGAAAGCAGCATGGAGACCACCCAGGTTGATCCATTTTGCGGGTGTTAAGCCCTAGCTCTTTTTCTAAAAGTCAGATGAACAGCATCCGAAAGGTTGATGTCCAACCCGCCCTTGCACTTGGATCAAGCCAGGCCTATGACTTTCCGAGTGCCGGTCGGGTGATGAGAGACCTGGCATAAAAAAAAGCCACCCGCGGGCCAAAAAGGTCACGCTGGCATCAGGCAGCAACGCGGCACCATCGTGACCAGTCTTCTCACAAAAGCCAATCACCCAGTTCAATTTATTGGTATGTGCTTATGCCATGCAAGTTTGTTTGCTAGGGCCATTGCAACACGTTTTCTCGGACTGGTTCAGATCCAAGCCAAGCTGTTGATAGCGGGGACTTGCAGTGTATGTTCGTGCGTGGTGGCTTGAGCCAACAATTCAGCTTTCTACGCCTGAGCTACGTGAAGGAGCATGCTTTGAAATGCATGAGCCGAACCGTGCCAGCATTGCTTTTGGTTGCAAGTGTGTTTAGTTTCAGACCTCTTGAGAGTCAAAAGATTGGAAGCAATTCCAGGAAAGGGCGGCAAGCGAATCCACGACTAATCATTGTAGCAGAAACCGCTTTCGGTGTATCCTAAACCAAGGGTGCAGTTTAGGCTCTTCATGGTTCGACCGTGAAGTCTCCGTGGTCCGTGGCTTCCTAGGAAAGATGAAGCAGAAGGGCGTGCGTCCGAACATCATGTGCCTTGGCAGCTGTGTTTGTGCATGTTCGGCTTCAGTAGCAACCCAGACTCAGAGGATCTTGTTTGGGTACTTAATGGAGGGCCTTTTGTCCGAGTCCGTGCAGAAGTGCTCTTTCAATTCCTTTGCGCTTGCTCATGAATCTCGGCTTTGCCCAGTGGGGTTCTCACCACTGCAAAGGAGAACAACCAACACATTGCCAGCAAGACGGAAAGGCTGTGGTTGTACGCGGCAATTGGGTACACTCGGACTGGCAAGCGGCAGGGTGACGTCAAAGATTGAGTTGTGCAACGGGAGGGTGTGTCATTTTTTCAGGGTACCATTTTTGTGGTTGGTTTGAAGGGCCGAAGCCTTTTTTGGATGTCCCTATTTGACGCATACCCATTGAGCGACTCAGCGATCTTTGGCGACATTCTTTAGTTGAAGCGCTCAAGGCCTCTCGGCCTCCCACTCCCAACGCCTGACGCGAGGAGAGATCCCGCGGGCTAAAGCCACAGAGATGTCATGTCCTGTTGAGTAGCGAGTCTTCGAAATCGGGGGCATTCTGCTTCAATTTGCCAGGACTTCTTTCGGATGCTTTGTAGAAGGTCATGAGCTGGAAATCGGGCATGCTTCAGGATTCTCATGACTTCAGGCATGAGAACCGCTCCAATGTGTGGCCGGCTGAATCCAGCGCAATAGCTTCTGCAAAATGCCCTGCAGAAATGCGAAAAGTCATGGCCATGACGGGCCAATCTTGGGCGAATGTTCTTTATCACAGGCCATGCTTCTATATCAGCATTGATTCCGGGCCCCATGTCCCAATGTGTTTCAAGCAATGGGCAGGCATGGACATGAAGATCAAGCCTTGAGAAGAAAGGGGATACTCGAAAAGTAGCCTGGGATGAATGACTCAAGTCGATCACTCAAGAAACCTCCATTGTGAGTTTCGTTTGGTAGGTTGTTTTCTTTCCATCTTGCAGTAAGTGGCCATCAGCCAAGCAAGGAGCATGCTCTGACGAACATAAGACTAGAAAGGTCACAGGGGAGGCGTGCCACAAAATCAGGGGATTCCAAAAACGGCAACGGTGTCCTTTGAGCTTCTTTTTCAGCCAGCCAACAGGTCGTGCACCACAAATCTCGGCGGGGAGTCGGTCCTGCATGACTTGGGTCATGTGACTTTCAGCGCAGTCCAGCTGCGAGTTTCCATCCGCGGAATGACCCTTCCCACAAAGTGGCGAGTAAGCTTCTTCTGATTTCATGAATGCAAGTTGAAATGTTCAAGGGTGCACTGGGAGGACCAAATGTAAGAGGGCGAGTTTCAACTGGAACTTGGCAAATGATGGTGGCCTCCCCAGGGGGCGTTCAACCCTTCTTATTTCAGGAGAGTAAGCTACCTAACAAAAAGGCAACCACAATTTGACATGAACTCCTCCAATTCCACCCTGTGGGTTGGTTCCCGGTTTCAGCTTGGAGCCTAAGGACCTATGCACCTTTGATCAAGGCGCACCACGAATTGGGTAGCACCTTTGATGTGGAGGCGGATGTTTTGTCAGGGGCTGGACTGTCTTTACATTGCGCATCCCACTTGGTCAATTGGGCACTATACGTTGGGGACGGACCCGAGGTCACCCGCCAACTCCCTTAGGGAACTTGTGGGATCCGCCAAATCCAAGAAATCCCGATATTTCTTGCATCGTAGTGTGGAGATTCTCGTTGAGGGAGGGCGCTTGATCGTCCAGCAGGACGCAAAACAGGTCCAGCGCTCTGAGTGGGCAGACTGCACGCGAGGATCCCCGACCATATGTGACTTCCTTCTGAGACTCACGCTTACTGCTAAGAAGTTGGTTTGTGTCAAATGGACTTTTTGAAAACAGCGTCGTCTTAAAACGGTTCTTTGGGTGCGATGCCCTTCAATGCATACCCGACTGAACCGAAAGGCCCTGAAGGCTGAGCCTTTCAATCACAGGGTCAAGTAAGCATGCCATAGCATGCTGAGACACACGGCGCACTCATGTGAAGATCGGTTCTTTCGGAGATTACACTAATTGGAGAGGCAGGTTTCAAACTGGCTAGTGGACTCAGATTTGGCTGCCAATTGGAGCTTGTACCATTGCAGCTGAAACCGATGGACAAGTTTGGATATTTCAGGGAAGCCCTGCGAAGCAATATCAGCACGGGGTCTATGAAAGAAGTTACACACATAGCCACTTAGAGGTTCAGCTCTTCGGGATCCTTTGACACTTGCCACTTGCGTCGTAGTGATGCTGCTAGACGTGGTTGAAAATGCCAATAGGGGTCCTGCTCTGAATAGACACTGCTCGGATTCGTTTTGCTTTGCCCCTTTTTCTTGTGAAAGCGGGCTGTTGCTCTGGGCGCCAGCGCAAAGTGCAATGCATTTTGTCGCGGGGCCAACATCCAATGCACAGTGTTTCATTTGAAGAGTGGCTCTGGACGTTTGGTCGTCCGATACCTGACCTCTTACCTGTGTTTGGCGGATTTTCTGAGAACGTCTATGATACGAGATTGGTCACGGAAGTTACAACTAATTGAAGGGTTTCTGTGCGGGCCTCTGCAGCAGGTGCCCCTGATATTTCTGGCTATACATTGATTTGGCCGTTGGGTGCCCTCAGACAGGGCAACCCCAAAAAAAAACAAAAATGTTTGGTCGTGTGTCTTTCGTTTTTGAAGAGCTAGAAATTTCACCCTTTCGGCGGAGCCTGTTGCTTCTACCCCTTGGCTTGGTTTTCTACCCTGAAGGTTTTGCTTTTAGCTCGCAAACTCGTCTTCCGCTACCATGGAATCCTGGAACCTGCACTGGTGGTAGGCCACTTCTCTGCCAACCCTGTAGGACTTCGATAGAAATGGATTGGAAGGGTACCCTTAGCGACGGGGGTCTTTTTGCCACCTTTTGTGAGAAAATTGGCGACCCCCTCAAAAAGGAATCCTTCACTACAAGGAGGTCGATCATTTTTCCACCAAAGGTTGCAAAAAGACCCCCCTGCCCTTAGCCTTGTGCCGAACGGTCGCAGGCGGTGCTGCGGCACATGCTCAGCCAGGGAGTGCCGCCGCAAGGCTTCGCGCAACGGAACCTGGAGGAGGGATATGACACATGACGCGCAGACACCCACAGATGTTCCATGGGTATCCATGGGTTTTCTCGGGTTCTCAGGGGTTTTGAGTTCTCTTTTGGGGCTCTCATGGGTTTTTGGTGGTTTTCTTTGTCTCTCATTGCTTTACTAGGTTTCTTGGGTTCTCTTTAGTTTTCAACTTGGTTGCTGGTCTTTGGTGTGCTTCCAAAGCCCCCTTTGACCTTTCACGTAGCCTTACAAAAGGTTGTCCTTTCAGGAAACTAGTTGGTCAAGGCGTTTCCCTTTTCTTCTGGGTCGCATGCCCTTGAACAGTAAGGGTTGGAGGCACGTTCTCACTGGGGCCTATGGGTCCTTTGCACTGGGGGATCCCTTACTTCAGGTTTTGTGATATTGCAACACCATGAAGGCACGTGTTGCGTTCTAGTCTGGCATCTCGTATGAGAGAAATGACACTTTGTGGTTTTAAGGTGCATGTTGCATGGACCAAAGCCAAATGTGTTAGCTGTTGGCGGTTGGGAGGTGAGGGGGTGGGGGCAGAAGCTGAGCTAGAGTGGCAACAACAAGTTTATCAAACCATACGATGCACATTTGAGAGCAGGACCTGATTTCAACATGCGAAGGTTTGGGCATGTATTTAGTGTGGTTTGCGACCGATTGTGCGCCCCATGAAGGGTCCTTGGTCCCTAGTTCAGGTGGTACGAAGAGGGGGCCTCCAACTGCAGGACGTCAGCCCCTATAGCCGCTTCTCTTTTTCTACAAGACGCAAAGGGCTGGTCAAGCATCCCTTGAGGGTGTGAAGGTTGAACAATCAGTCGTTACGTGGCCCGGAGGACAAACACAGAGCACAAGCAACCATAAACACAGCAAGAAAAGACAAGCCCTGCCACTCCTTGCCTCCAAGTCTGGTCTGGATGACCGGGTGACCGCATGACCGGATGACCGGATGACCGGATGATGACCGGATCGCACTCAGCCGAATTCGGAGATTTCGAGGACTCCCTGGGTGCGCAAAAGGTGGAAGGCCTTTGCTCCCAGTACGACCTGCATCCCTTGGGCACTCGACAGATTCTTGGAAGATCCCAGGGCCGAGGAGCCGAGCAGTCGGAGTCCAAGCTTTGCAGTCCCAAACCCAAGCAGAGGAAGGCCCAGCTTCACACTTCCCGATTCCGCTAGGGTTGGGCCAAGGACCCCTTGTTTAACATGTTCCCAACAAACCCTGAAGGCGTGCAGGTTTCATCAACTACAAGACTACAAGGTCAAGATTGCTGCATAGGGTCAGCTTTTCACTAGGGCCTGTATCGCCTCCAGCTCACACTTTGGGATGAGCAACTCACACTTTTGGATGGGTTTCGCACACTTTACACCAGCGAACCCTGCGATTGCTCTCGGACCACGTCCCGTGCGGCAAATGCGGCCGCCACGACACTGTTGAACCTGCTTGCTGGAACCCCCCCCCCCATCCTAAACTGTTCAAACATATATGAGTCTGTGTGTTCCCGAAAGCATCGCGAAGGGTTCTTCAGTGCGGAGCCCTTGGACAAGTTACATAGAGCCAAGTTACATAGAGCCAAGTTACATAGAGCCAAGTTACATAGAGCCAAGTTACATAGAGCCAAGTTACATAGAGCCAAGTTACATAGAGCCAAGTTACATAGAGCCAAGTTACATAGAGCCAAGTTACATAGAGCCAAGGTTAGGTAGAGCTTAGAGCTTCGGCGTTAGCAGCTATGTAAGCTAGTTTAGGTTTCTAAGGCGCCGGGGCGGGAGTTTGATCGTCGCTCGGGATTGCGACCCTCTGCGGAGATTCGCGTGGTCGAGGGACCCTCTGCGGAGATTCGCGTGGTCGAGGTTCAAAAACTGAGGACTTTTTACGATTTCTGCTGGCCGCGCGCGACCCTCTGCGGAGATTCGCGTGGTCGAGGTTCGAGGTTCAAAAACGAGGACTTTTTACGATTTCTGCGGTGCGCGCGCGACCCTCTGCGGAGATCGTGCGCGTCGAAGCGCTCTCGCTGTGGCGCCGTGCGAATTTGTCTTAGTCTCGGCGAACCCTCTGCGGAGATTGTGCGTGTCGAAGCGCTCTCGCTGTGGCGCCGTGCAATATTCTTGCTCGCGGAACGGCCTTTGGAAGTTGTCTCGTGGTTTGCGCGCCTGCTTTCGCAATCCCGCGGTCGCGGGTTCGATTCCCCCCTGGTCCGCGGCAGCTCCGGCTTGAAAATCGCAGCTTTTAAGTACAAACGTAGTACGCGGAGCGTGCTCCTGCAGCTCCGGCTGGAAAATCGTAACTTTTAAGTACAGACGTAGTGTGCGGAGCGTGCTCCCGCAGCTCAGGCTGGAAAATCGCAACTTTTAAGTACAAACGTAGTACGCGGAGCACACCCCCGCAGCTCCGGCTTGAAAATCGCAACTTTTAAGTACAAACGTAGTACGCGGAGCGTGCTCCTGCAGCTCCGGGTGGAAAATCGCAATTTTTAAGTACAGACGTAGTGTGCGGAGCGTGCTCCCGCAGCTCCGGCTGGAGAATCGCAACTTTTAAGTACAAACGTAGTACGCGGAGCACACCCCCGCAGCTCCGGCAGCACTTGCGCAGAGCAACTTGCGCAGAGTCACTTGCGCAGAGCAACTTGCGCAGAGCAACTTGCACAGAGCAATTGCACAAAGCACTTGCGCAGAGCAACTTGCACAGACCAACTTGCACAGAGCACATGCGCAAAGCGCTTGCAGGGAGCAACTGGCGCAGAGCCCTTGCGCAGAGCAACTTGCTCAGAGCACTTGCGCAGAGCAACTTGCACAGAGCAGGCGCAGAGCAACTTGCGCAGACCAACTTGCGCAGAGCACATGCGCAAAGCGCTTGCGCGGAGCAACTGGCGCAGAGCACTTGCGCAGAGCAACTTGCTCAGAGCACTTGCGCAGAGCAACTTGCACAGAGCACTTGCGCGCAGCAGCTTGCAGAGAGCAACTTGCGCGCAGCAGCCTGGAACAATGCAGCTTGCGCAGACCACTTTCGTGAGAAATCGCGCGGCGCAGTTCGAGAGGAAAGTAGGATGATGAGATGGAGCTCTCATGTGACCATACACACTGAGCATCGCCGCGCGCAGACACGCTCGCCGCAGCGATGTAAAAAGGTGTCTCCGCGGCTGGATGAGCACCTGTGGAAAAATGCTTTCGGGCCAATCGTCCTCTAGTTTTTTTTACCGTGTCAGTTCTTTAGTCTTCGTGGGAGGTGGGGCTTGGGCGAGCCATGCCCCCGAATCATACCCCGGCCCCGAACCATACCCCCGAGCCATACCCCGAGTCATACCCCTTAAAAAACACAAAAAAAGAACTTGCAAGAACTGTGGCATTTGCGTGTGATCCATGGATAGCTGGAAGCTATAGGGCGTTTAACTTCAAGTGAAGAAGGGGGTCTTGTCAAGAAACAGTGCAAAAAGAGAGCTTGACATGTGGACCGATGCCAGGGGGTAGGGACTCCGAGGTAACACCTGGTTCACTTGTGGTTCCTGGATCTATTCTTGAGATGCTTGCATGGTTGGGCTCTGATGTCATGGGGCCAAGTATAGTTGACATGTCCACTCACACACTCACTGGTTACTCGTGGGGGGCCATTTTGGCTCAAGTACACTCGGTTACCCACCTCGGTCTCGGCTTGCTATTTTCAGTGGAAAGTGCCAATGGATGGAGTTATAGAGCAATCCTGCGGATGTCCTGGTACTAGAGTTGTCTGTAGCATCCGTGGTGCTGTGGCGGGGGGGGTGCAGCTTGGCGTAAGACGCTGGGACTTGCAGGGCGCTGTGGCGGGGGGTGCCGCTGCTGAGCTTGAAACTTGGAGCTTGCTTCCTGCAGTCTGTCCGACGCGGTGGAAACAGCTGTCTGTCCTGGGCCACTGTCGCAGTGTCTGTGTGCTCCTGGGGTACTCTGGTGTCTTTCCGGTCGAAAAATTCTGTCCCCCGATTCATACCCCCGATTCATACCCGATTCATACCCCGATTCATACCCTTCTGCTGCCATTTGCAAGAGCCTCTTGCGCTCTTGGCAGTACTAGCGAAGCTATGCCGCCCAAATCCTCCAGAAGACACAAAACTCAAAGAGAAGCACTGCAAAAACCAGCTCGCGGCTCTTTTCGCAAAAGTTCGCCAGAAGGTGGGTTCGGAAGGCTTACGGCGATGTATCAAGCGCGACACGGTACACCACCTGTGAGAGGCCCACTAGCCTCTGCGCGGCTGCCGTTTGAGGATGTCACGCTGTCTTGCCCTTACGCTGGTTCGTGACTGGTGCGGGTGGCGGGCCTGACTGGGCAGCGGCGCTTCCCCTTAAGCAACGCTTGCTTGGGTCTGTGAGCACGCAGGTCGCTTGAACTCCAAGTGGCTCTGCGCCTTCCACCTAGCGCAGCAGCTTTCGCTAACCCACTCACGCAGAGTGGCAGCTGTCCACTCACAAGCGCCCCAGGCTGGCTTGTAGCAACTAAGCGGTCCAAATTCTCACGGCTATCCAGTTGCCAGCGCACGGGAGCTTTGCAGTGTCCAAAGCCACAAAGCAAGAGTTCAGAGGCACGCGAGCCATACCCCGAATCATACCCCCGAGCCATACCCCGAACCATACCTGCGATTCATACCCCTTATACCAACCTCCCGGCACGGCCACGTCAAAAAACACATACCCATATTGACCTTTTAAGAATGGCGTCAGGCCGCCCTTTATTTTTGGCGAGGACCCAATTTTTTTAGGGCCACACAGACCCTAGGAACGTCCGTTTAGCAATTGTTTATCGGGGGTGCCCGATGAACGTTTGCCAAGGATTGCCACGTCGCTTCGCGGGGAGTCGGCCTCGTGGGCTGCAGTCCAATCCGACGGGTGGGGCATGAAGGCGGATGGAAGCCAATAGAATTTGATTTATGTTTCCCCGCAAATAAAACAACCTTGCAAAACTTGTCTGGGCAGAATTGGAAAACTACTTCAATCAACACGGCTCTCCAATGCGTATGCTGTTTTTCCATTGTTTGTTTGTTTCTTTTGGGGGAGGGAGGGTCCATTACACGACCTGATAAGAATGTCTAACTCGACGTGTTCCTGCTATGCCCCATTTGGCAAGTTGCCTGACAAAACCAGCACGCAGAAATCCACACATACAAATACACAGAGGCATGCACACATTCCTTGGAAGATGTGGGAAGACATGTTTGAGAAAATGCTGTGTTTGGTACACTTCCGCTTGTCTTGCCGAAGGCCTACTGCCTATCTGGAGTCTCCATGACCCTTTATTTTTGTCATTACCCCAAATAACCTGGTCATGACCATGTTTAAAAGGGTCATGGAGACTCCGGGTACGTCTTTTCGGGGCTTCGGTGTCCAGAAGTCCTGTGCTTGGACCGTTGTCGGGGTCGCGGACATGTCCGAGATTCATTGTTCGGTCTCATTGAAACCTATCTGTGGGTTATAAATTTGGGCTGGTGAAGGGCTAGGAACATGGTTTTGGGGGACCTGTAATAAATAACCCTCCTAAATATCATTGAGAATGAAATAGACAATACTTAGTTTATTACACGACCAACCAAATATTAGACTTCGAACATGGTTCATCATCATCGTCGTTATCATATATATATATATGTCATTTTAAGGTCCCTACCCTATCCTCATTAGGGCTTCCGCGCTGCTCGTAGCCACTCGGCTGAGCCTTGCCAGCCATGCCATGGCCAAAGTTTCCGTGGCGCTGGCGTTTCCATGGCGCCTCAGCGTTGGCAACCGCCCTTCTGGTTTGGATTCCCTTGGGATGGTGAACAAGAAGCCGGGCTGGGCAGCTGCTATTAGGGATGTCCCTGGGCTTAGTTTGTGAAATTATCGCCTGTGAAGGGCCCCCCTATTAAGGTAGCAAGCTGGGGTTGATTAATCGGGGGTCAAGGTTGTCAGGGAATCTTCCGAGGTTGGCTTTGCGTTGATGATGTGCAGCTCTGCAAGTGCGCGAACCTGTGTTTGAGCCTTGTGACAACACTGAATTCAGACTGCTGGTTTGTCACCCCTAGGTCAGACAAAGAAGCTTCGACAAGATGGATTTTTTCCTTTCAGCCCGAGGCGTCTATTTCCAGTGATCTGCGTGGTGATATACCCTGCCTCTCTGTAAGTAAACATCGACCCCATGTTGTACCTCCAATCATCCAACAGCGGGCGTTCTCCCAGTAGCGTCAGTCAGTAGGGCAAATCCAAGCTAAAGCTCATCGCAATTGGGGCTGAAGCCAGGCAGGATTGAGTGTTCAATTGCTGCTTGACGTTGGGAGCCACCCAGTCATCTAAGTACCAACTTTGTCAGTTGCTTTAAGCTTTGACATGTTCGGTTTGCCTTACCTCTGGCTGTTTGATGCCCCTTGGCACGTGTTTGGCCACACGCGACGCTTGCTTTTTTGCCGGGTCCTTGATACGTTAGTAGCAAGCCACTTGCCTTCTCCTTCTGACAATTAGGCGCAGCAGAAGGGAAGACTTTGTCAGGGAAACAAAGCAGGTGAACACATACGCTTCCACCACCTAATATTGAACCAAACTGGGGTGGGTCCTAGAAGATGTTGCCCTCGGGGCGCGCCGCCGGGTTCCATATTCATTTTCCTTTTGGGGCCGGAAAGGTGCCTCCTTGACAGCAAACCCAGGGGCTTAGGCTTCCGCCGCGCGCTCATTGAAACAATGAGGCCAAAGCACGAGCTGGGGATAAACCGGCTCACCTATGAAGGTCCCTTAGTTGGGGCTTGCTTATTCTTTCTAGCTTGCGTATTGTAGTAGTTTCTCAGGTCACAGAAAACGCATAATGTGATCGCCGAGGTCGTTCGTGTCTTGAGGCTGCCCCTTTCGAGGGAACGCAAGCAAGGGGAAGCCCAAGGCCAGTTCTCCAGTGGCTAGCCTAGCCCAAGCAACCTACCAGAGAATCAGTCGTGCAAGCCAATCGCCCGGTGCGCCATGGACACGGGATTGCGATGATCTGCAGGATCGGTGCACCGTGGTGTTGGTCTCACTTCGTGATGAACATGCAGACCCACATGTCTGCAGGATTGTCGTGCAACGTTCTTGTCTTTCATGAGCTGGCAGCTAATGCTCGCTATACCCTTTAGCGTTTCATTATGCTGTGTTTACATTGTGGGGGCGTGGTCACGATGCCTGAGCCGGGGGCACGCAAGGTGCCTTGAGTGCAGCGCATGTCCTGCAATACCTTTCTGTGATTTTGAAGAGCTTTTGGAACGGGCATCAACTCGTGGGTTGTAGGTTTGGCTTTCACGACCGTGGTCTCTGCACTGCCTCTGTGTGTGGACAACATTTCGTGGGGACGGCACTTTGCAAATGGTGGTGGGCTGCATGTCTGGAAGTGCCTGGAAGTGCCTTGAAATTGAACTCGGGCGCCGGGTCACTTACATTGCTTGGGCCAGCGGTACGCAGCATTGCTGAGACCATGTGCTATAGGTTTTGCAGATAGGTGCAGTGCACTCAACGGGTTACCAGCCTTCATGGCACCAGGAGTTTTACCCTGATACGGGCTGGCCTCGCATGCCTGCGCAAGTGCCGTGGCACAACACTTGTTTCTCCTGGTTCACCTTGCGACGTCCCAACCGCGCGAGGCGGTTGGTGCTTTGCGCTTGTCAGGAGGGCGCTAAGCGCTCGCGGTTCGCCTCGGCGCCCCACCGCGCAATGCGGTAGGTGATCTGTTGCCATGCAGCGCCCCAATTACGCAATGTGGTTGGTACTCTTGTTCTTGGCCAGTTTGGGAGTGCCAACGCGCACCTTGGGCTTCACTCCCCTTGTGTTGTGCAGACGTGTCGGAAAAGTCTGGAAAAGTTGTTCAGTTGCATTTTTTGCCTCGCGAGTTCTCAGCTAAATAAACACCCAATTCCAAAGGATCAAACCTTCAATCCAAGCCCGGGTTGATTGCGGATAAGGGCCCATTCATCTTCCTTGACGGCGGCCCTCCACCTCCGGTAGTAGGCACCGCGGTTTCCACCTCCACTTTCTTGACGATCTGGCCCTTCGCATCGGTCCCGTCGTAGATCTTGGCTCCGCCATTTCCGGCATCCCAACCACAAACAAGACAAGAATTTAAAATATTTGAGTTTTGCGGTGCCTGCACGTACAAGAAAGCAAGCCTGCCTTTTGCCTGGCATGGGGCGCCAACCACCAGCTGTTTGCTCAGGTGCCTGAAAGGCGGCAGTTCCACGTGGCCCCCAGTGGAGCTGCGCGAGCTTATGGGCTCGGAGGAATGGCAGCTCAGGCCCGTGCAGGCGCGTTTAGCCGAGAGTTGGGTGCCGAACCGTCGGGCAAATTGGTTGGACCTGGCCTTTGATGCCTTCATAGACCCAAGTGGGGCCGTGTACCTTCATAGGACTGTGGATGGACGAAATCCATGTCGCACCACCTAAGACAAGATTCCCCTGTAAAAGCCAACGATGGTTTCAACCATGGTTTCTACTTGGCGCAGGATTTTGTAGGTGCAAGGGGCTTGCCACCAAATAGCGAAGGGTTACCTACTATATGGGTTTGGGAGATGTTCAAATCCACCCCCGCCCCAACAAAAAACAACCCGCAGTGCTCATGGGATTCAAGGGGTTACACAGGATCTTCCTACGTTGGCCAAGGCGTTTGAAACAATATTGGCTTGCACAGGTTGTTTTTTTCAACTGTGGGCGTGGCACAGGCCTTAACTTCCCTGCTTACCCGTGCGCAAAGTGGGTGGTGCGCATTCAAGGCAACGGGTCAAAAAGGGAAACTGGGTACGGGGGAATAAACGAGACGGCTCCAACTGAAACCGATTGCGGGGTTCTTTTAGCACGCAGTATGTGTTTTGCCCGTGCTGTGTATTTGTAAAAGAGGTTTCAACTAAACCCACCGAACAGAGAAAGCAGAGGGAAAACGTGATGATTTGCAAAACGTGGACGCTTCCGCGACACCGCCTTACTCAAGAATATCTTTGAGCCTCTCATTGAAGAAGCTTTGTTGTTGGGCCGCTGTTGCCGCTCACGGAAACAGAGTATTCGAACAGTTTTGACCTTGGATGTATAGAGCTGGTAGCGCTTCATGGGAGTGGCTCAAGAGTGCACGGATCCTCACCAAACGGCTGGGAGAAACCAAGATAGCCTCTTTTCTAGCAAGTCTGCAGACGAGGATTATCCATTGGGGAGCTCTCCGAGAGAATTGATCCCCTCCTTCAAGCCAGGCTGTTAACTTGAACTACGGTACGCACGGATGAGAATTTGTGTGTGACCAGTGGGTTGGCGGGCAGTAGAAATCAATTCCCCATTTCCGGTTTGGGTAGCTTTGCTGTCGTGGAAACTCTTTTGAATTGACTGTACTTAACACGTGCATAAGTATGATTTACCTCGGCTGCCGGGTAACCTTACTTTTCAATTGGGCTAGATGTAGGGGTGCACAACGCCATACATATACATACCTATATCAATCGAAGGATGCACATATGCATATGATGGGGTCATCCCCAGGGGCAGATATATATATATATACATATATATCCATACATATATATCTCTCTCTCTCTCTTTCTCTCTCTCTCTCTCTCTCCCTCTCTCTCTCTCACTCTCTCTCCCGCGCCAAATACGTCGAACGCAAGCAAATCGAGCCTTCTAACGTGGCCTCAGGCAGGCCTGCCAAGGCAGAGTGAGAATCGATCCTGGGCTGAAAGAGTCGCCGTGAGAACTTGAAATGGCTGACAGCGACTAAAAGATGGGTTTGGAAGGATGGGAAAATGAGGTGGAAGCCAGGCAACGCCAATTCCTGACTGACAAGAATCCCCAATTGAGGCAATTAATTGAGGGGGTCCCTGTTTAGTGGAGAACATGATGTCCTGGGCCACAGCGAGGTTCCTCGAAATTTTCCTTTTAACAGACCTGAGCTTCTGTCGGAGTGGGATGGCACACCGCCTGGGACTTACGGATTCTTGCCCGAAATTCGGCGCACACGAATTTGCGTTTTGGGGCTTTGAGCCAGCTTCGCGGCTTATGCACGATCTGCTTTCACAGGTTTGAGCTATGCGCGATTGCCTCCAGCCTTAGAGCCCGCGTTAGGCTAGAGGGCAAAGCAGCAGCTTGCTGCTTTTCAACATGTTCAATGTTTGGGCAATATTTTCCGGAATGTACAAGTGGGCGAAGCCTTATGCCTCACCTCGGGACCCACCCAGAAAGAGGAAGAGATATGTTACCTATCCAAGCGGTCTGGATTTTGAGGACGTCTGGTGTGACACGCTCACACTCCAATTGCCTAGGGGACCCCCACCCTTTTTCACCCCTGAACACGCCCCGTCGACACCCCCCGCGCCCCCGAAGCCAACCCTAAACCAACCCTAAAGCAACTTTAAACCAACCCCAAACCACACCCAACCACCCGCCACCCAACCACCCCCCCTCCCCCCACCCCCACAAAGGGGTGGGCCTACCTTTGGGGGGGGGGGTGGGGGGGGGGGTTTATGGCTTGGACAAATATATATATATATATTAATATATATATATATATATATATACACATGTCGTCTGCACATACATATGTTTTGGTTTTGGTATATGTTTAGCCGCTGTATTCAAAGTTGAGTTAGTTTCGGAGGTCCGGCATGTGGAGTAGAATGTATGTGTGTGTGTGCTATATATAATGTTCAGCATTCGGGGGGGGGGCGGGCATTTGTTGCCTTTGAACAAATGATTCCAAGTCATGTCTAGACTTGAACCCCTTATTTTCCCAAAAGCGGGTGTCAAAAGGGCCAGCCTTGATCCACGTCAGCTTCAGTCAGGGAACGTGTCAGGGAATTGGGTGGCACAGGTCCCTTGATTTGCCCCAAGGGAGACGGCAACTGGGCGCAAACAGCCCGCAGTTTTGGTTGTCTCAGGGGATGGTAACTTGGACGTTGAAAGAACCCCCCCCCCCGCCCCAGAGGTGACACCCCGGTAAACACTTCTCTGGTGAGGATTCCACCTCGACGACGCATGCCGATCCACTTCGAATTCTCCGCAGTTTTCCGTGTGTGTCAAGGCTGGGCACAAGCGCTACGTAGTTTTCCCAACTTGTTTGACGTATGAAATTACAGGATTCAAGAGTGTTGAGCTCAGCCTTGTTGAGCAAAATGCAGCCAAATAAGGAAGCAGCTTGGGTCAGACACAGTGATTCACTTCAAACCGCAATTGTGGCGGTGATGTGAGCTTGCACGTCTCCTCGCACGTCTCTTGGGGGGAGGGGGGGGAATGGCCGACTGTGAAAGCCCGAGCTCCAGTATCCCAAGGAATTTGGCAAGATAAACTGGACTGGCAACTTTGAGGGAGTGGAACTCAACTTGACGGTTACAACTTGGGATTTTGTTTGCCTTCCCTTCGATCAAGATTTTCTCTTTGAAAAGGCATGTTGAACCTATGTATCAAGACGACTTGTCCCGAAATGTCGACCTGCATTTCCTTGTTTTCCGGTTGCCAGTGAGGCAACATGGCAAACCCCTAAGGCGGGCTGGTGCGATGACTACTCGGCGGGTAGTGGCTATTGCCCAGTGTATCCCGCTGAGAACGTGGACGTGCGTCTGCAGAACGGGTCCACACAGATGGTCTTGGCCAGATCTGATCACTGCAACTTGCCCGAATGATTGTTATGCGCACGGGAATCTGATAGTTGGCTCGGCCTTCGAGTCTTCACCTAGTGCCAACTCGGGGTTTGGACCGACGAGTTCTCTTACGGGGATGCAGGAATTCGTGGAAGTTCGCTGCTGGTGACATGTCTCTGCGCACAAAACCGGGCTGCAAGAACCGGCCGGTTTAGGCGTACCTTGCTGGATGACTCGTTGGCAGTTGCTTCTCCCGAAAGACACCCTTGGTACGCAAGGCGTGCCAGAGGGGGGGGGGGTTGGGGTGGAGGCAGTAAGTGCTTTGGGAGTGAGTTGTTGTTTCTCTTCGCCCCTTCTCTCGGTCACTTGGGTTGGTTCCTACGGCTCATCCGCCATCTTTGGGACAGAGGAAGTCCTCCCTGGAGTCCAAACAAAGCAAAGCAAAAGTCCAGGTGAATGCAGGGGTCACAAGTGAATTCGTAGAGTTCTCCTGTGTTCTTTGTTTGGTGAACAGCCCAAAAAAAGGACTTTGCTCAGAAGAAGGCAGGCCGATTTTGGGAACGGCTGCAGACTTTGCCGCAGCGCTTTGTTCGTTGCCCAGGCATGGCGCTGGGCGGAAACGGGTCGCACATGTTCCTTTGCCCCCCGCGCGCGCCCATTGCGATCATCATGAATCCGAAGGCGGGAAACCCACACGTGCCGTGTTGGCAAAACAATCCGCGGATTCAGACCTGTCTTGGTGGCTCCCAGCCATCCACTTTTTTTATTTAAGGTTTTGGGGTTTACTGGTATTTTCCATTTATCCCACTCATTGAAAGTTAATTTTTCAGCAGGGATCTGAGGGCCCAGCTGTTCATTCCTTTCGGAACAGCCTGTTTGGGCTGCGCCTGTCAGTGAATCGATCGATGGCATGTCCTGCCAATGAAGCTGTGACGAAGTTCTTCGGAAGAATTCTTAGGCGCGGGACCTTTTGCTGGGGGGGGAGCTAACTTTTTCAGTGTTTTCACATTTTCCGGTTATTTTTGCCACTCCCACTTTCCAGCAAGCAAGCACGCAAGCAAGCCTAGCAGCCACCAGGAAAGCAAGGCAGCCAGCACGCAACCAAGCAAGCAAGGAAGCAAGCCGGCAAGCCGGCCAAGCAAGCAAGCAAGCAAGCAAGCAATCAAAGCAGCCAGCAAACAAGCAAGCCATCCAGCACCTTAAACCCACCAACACGATCCCTAAACACGCCCCAGTAGAGGGGAGGGCGCTTGCTGGCACCCATAATTGTGCGCCACTCTCGTACAAGAGCCCTTTCAGGCAGGTAGCACGTCGGCGGCCATGTGGCTCCAGTTGCTGACGTCTTTGCGCCGACCGCGCGCACTGGTCAGACACTTTCGGAACAATCTCGCAAAGAAGCTGGGCTGCAGTCATGCATCGTTTGCTTGCGTGTGTTTCAAAGCCAAACGTTTAATCCTCCATATGTGGGCGGGTTGGACCTCCAAACAAGGTTGTTCCTGTGGTGCTCCAGTAAGCAAACATCACCCAGGATACCCTTCAAACACGGGCGCATCCGAGTGTTGGACGATTCGAGCCACTGTCCTCAGGTTTCAGCCAGTTTGACTTTCGCCGGAAGCCAACACGCAATATGATTTGGACACAATGATCTTGGTGAAGATGAGATGGTTGGACATAGTTTGGGGGACAGTTTTGGCTTACAGCCGTATGCCCTTCCAGGAAAAGTGTCTGACCTGAAACAACAACCAACACGCAAATGATTTGATTCCTGTTGGTAAATGGGTGTGTCTTGTTTGTAGGGGACCCCCAAACAGATTTCGGTGTTCCATTTGTTGTTTGTGTGAACCAACCCGAAAAGGGGCTTCCCAAAAACAGGATTCTAAGCTGCACATGGTCCGGTCGAACCGTCAGGGGGGAGCTTGGCATTTCAGAGCACTGGCTCTTCGGCGCGGAGGGCATCGGGGGGAGAAAGCGGCTGCGGCGCAAGCAACGCCGCTCGGCCGCTCATTTCCGCGGCTCGGGTACGGTGGATGGTTTCGGAATCCGCCAAGAACCAAATAGAAAACCATGGTTGAAGCCAGTGCGCGTTGGTATTTGCAGGGGAATCCGATCAATCCAGGGTTTCTTTGGCGCAGGATTTCCTCAGTTTGACCGGAAGGTTCTTGGTTTCAAAAATCCCAGGCCCCCAAGTTCTGACTTTGGCTAAACCACTCCGGTCTGTGTATTTCTGAGGCCCTTTTACCTTGAAAAAGGCCAGACACGTGTCAGGAAGTGAGCTTACAGTGAGGCGAAGAGCTCTGCGCTCGGGCCATGTCTGCCTGCTGCTGTATAGCATTTTGTTTTTTGGGCCACCAAGATTGACACAAACCCAGGGTAAACAATGCATAATACCTGAAATCTATTTCTCCCTTGGATTCTTGGAAGGCCCTTGGTTCCCCCAAAAGGGGGAAACCTGGCAAGTAACAACAAACGAAAGACTGCCTCTGCGGGGAGGTCTTTCTGGGCAAATGGCAAAGGCTTGTTTCATATGCCCCGCATGATAAGATCTCCTCAGTTGTTCCGCGACACCATGCTTCCGTTTTTTGTTTGGTTTCACTAAAAAGCGGCCAACCCCAAAACGTGTTGGCTTTCCTTCTACAAACGTGTCAACCCAAAGTCAGGGCCCACTCTACTAAGCTCACCGGTCGCAACTGGGTCCATAAACAGCCTCTCCGAGCGAGGTGCCGCATTACAGCAGCGGATGCTCTTTGAGGCGACGCTGAAGCGGTTGTTCCCCAGATAGCTGAAAGCTATAGGGGTTCTAACTTCTAATAAAGAGGGGAAGTGATTTGCAAGATTGACTGCCGAGTGCTAGGGGGCATGCAGTTTGGGGTGCTGGTGCTTGTGCTGCTTTGGGGTGCTGTTTTGGGTGGTACTGGTGACGATGCATTTGCGGCGTTGGCGGTCAGGTGCTCGGGGGGTTTGGGGTGCTGTCCGGGGGTGTTGTTGGATGCTGGTGATGGCATAGGAGCGTTTTTGCGGGCATGCAGCGCGGGGTAGGCGCAGCTTTTCGCTATTTGGGGTCTATGCTGGCGTATTTTTTTTGTGTTCAAGGGCCTCGCTGGATTTCAGGTAAATTTTAGTTGGTGTGGATTTGAACCCCTGCTTCTTGTAGAGGGCAAAAGGGAAACGAAACCCCTCCTTAGCCGCCAAGCCACCACTCGGGGGAAAGCTGACTGGGGTCTCTTGATTTGGGTGTTACTCAAAAAATGAGGCCATCCCGGAAGGAGGGCAAAAGGAAACGAACCAGTTTTGAGAAGCACCCAACGCAAGAGGAAAGTTACTTTAGCTTGTTTGACAGTAGTTTGACCTTCAACCTGTACCTGTGTGGGAAGGTGAGAGGGTCCCTGCTGACCAGGCCAAAACTTGTCGCAGCTCTGATGCGCGCGTCTAAGGCAAACGGATCTCTTGAGCAGTCCACTGGTGAACAATGGGAACGCAAAAGCTTTCATACAAAGACTCATGGATGAAAGTGAGACAACGTGAGATTCTACTGGTTGATTCCCCATTCTTTTCAACCATCGTTCTTTTCAAGAACCGGATGTTTCCCTGGGTTTTTGATGGTTTCCTGAAAAGAAGGATCCCTGGAAAGAATGGGGAAGGTACCCCTAGACAGATAGTCACGGCCTACTTTGCATGTGCTGGCCTCAAAGGTGCTCATTGACGGCTCGACCATGAGAGTTGCAGAGTATGCCTCCAAGATTCTTAGCTCTACATTTCTGGCGCGCGCATCGCGCGGGTTGATGCTGTACATTTGCTGGCTAAACATTGGGGTGTTTGTTTTCAATCTTAAGGTACCCCCCAAATAAATAGTGGTTTCCTTGTAACACCACAAAAAAAGGTACCCTCACAAACAACACCCGCATCAGCTTGGTCGCTTGCACTGGTGGGTTGCGGCTTACATGCTGTTGTTGAAACTCGAGTTTGGGAGCCTGCAAGCATGAGTGAGCCATCCCGGCCACAGCCCACCCGGTCAGCTGAAGCCACGGATCATATAGATCAACTTGCTGGTGTGTCAGGTTTGGGCGCCATGTGTGCCATGGTCAGAAGACCGGTACTTGGGGTTACGTTGGGATGGTCCACCTAGGGATCCTCAACCATGCTGATTCCTAAGGGAACCATGGCCACAGGCCATAGGAGTGATCAGCATTGCGCATGACATAGGCTTTACTTCACAGCGCCAACAACCGGCTAGCTGGACAGGTTGATCTGGGGGTGCTTTTTGTTGGGACCCCAAACATAGGGGTTTGTTCCGTTTTGAAATCTACAGGTTTGAAGGCCCCCTATCCACTCCCAGGATCTTATTGCCCCCTGGCTGGTGCATTCCTTGCTGCGCGCACGCCTCTGGGCGCTTGCCAGTAGTCCTGGTGAGAAATCCCTTCCGGCGAGTACAGTGCCTCAGCAAAATGAGTCCAGTGAGAGCGTGTGGGAAATACATCGGTTTTTGACGGAATCCGTTCGCAACACCTGTGAAAGAATGGAAGCCATTGCATTTGGTATTTATAGGGGGAATGAGCAGACACCAGGGTTTCTTGGCTGGTGCGAACTGGATTTCGTCCGTTCGCGGTACCTCTCGGTCTTGCCCGAAACTTGTAGAATTATTCCACGTGTGCTTGTTGCCTTTGTTGTGTGGCGACTAGGGCATGAGCAAGCATTTTGCATCATTACCGTTTCATACCCTTGCCTCTAGAATCAGCCGGTGAGTTTAATCAGGCCATACCTCTTGTTTAACTTGAGCTGGGAAGCCCCGCTTCAACTCTTCTGATAGTGCTGGCAGACTTTCCCAATGAAAGTTGAGATGGAACGGGGAGTGCCAATTAATCACACCCCTTCCACCCCGCATGGAACGGTCGGGGTGTAGCCCCGATAAAGGACCCTTCCGAAATTGTGGATATATCGGCTTATATGGGGGAGTATCGGAAAAACTAAGAAGGGTCGGCCTTCCGCCTTTGGCCCAGTTGGGGGTGGAGATGCCAGGCAATTGGGCGCTTTTTCTTGTGCTGTGTGTTGTTGGATGTTCATTGACCAGCTGAAAGCTTGTCGTTTGTTTATGCCCCATGCGGCTTGAAGTGATGCCATGGTTATGGTTGGAGGTGAGTCATAGTGAGTCTTTGTTGGAAAGGGCTGGAGTGCCAACCCCATTCTCCCAAGAATGGGCCCGGTTTGATTGCTCCAGGTCTTGGTTCAGACACAAGTGGCTGGCGAACAAGGGCAAGGAGCCCTACGCCACTTGGGCGGGCTTTCTACCTTTCCTGCGCTACATGTGGGAGCACAGAAGTGATGCCAATGATCCGACTCTTGGAAGCAAATGCGATCCCAGCCCCCTCAATGTATGGAAAGGAGGGTTGTACTTGAGAGGAACAAGACTAGCAAATGCTACCATCAGGTGTCCTTCCTGGGTGCAAGGAAAATATGTATAGATACATCATGCCGTGTGCCTCGTGCCACCTGCAGGGTCAAGAGTTGCATGGATATACGTTTCAATGGGGAACCTAGCTCCAAGGCGATTGTTCAATGTAAATCTCCATGAAAATGATGTCCACCAGAGGCCCCAAGCCACAATCATACCTACATGTATCGCGCCTCCTATCTGACCCTTGGCGTACCTCAGGGTAAGAGCCCCATGTCTAGATACATTATTGGTGGTCAGTTCGCCCATGGGAGGAGGCTCCACCCCCAACATGAGTTCCATGAAGTGACGCCCGACCCCTCTTCGTTAACTGTAAGTAGTTGGCTCAACACTCTGAACAATGGAAAGCGCAAAAGCGGAGTAATGACTTGTTGCGTCTCCAGAGGGACAGGCTTGTGGACTGCTGGCGAGGAACGGATTCTGGAAGCGGGTGTTGAAGAGGCCCTTCAACATGCTGGACGCTGCTAGACCGAGCCGTCAGGGACCCCCTCCAATGAAGGCTGCAACAACGGGTCCGATCCCCAACAAGTTCGCCATGCGGTTGGGTTCCACGTGAATCCGCGCAATGAGTGATTTGTGTCACAAGTTCGCTTTTTAGCTTTTCGTTGGGATTTGGAGAAGCATCACCTTGTGAACCGAGTCAATAGGGCCTTCTGCATGGAGTGCGAGGAGTGGGAGCTTTGCATCGGGAAGCCGGCACGCAGAGCTTTCAATGTGTCGCATTTTTCCGAGCCGGCGACCCATTCAAACGCAACATTGGTGCTCTCGGGGGTTTGGGATTTCGGATTGGGATTTGGAGGCTCTTGGGCCATTGCCCGGAGTTTCCAGTGGCTTCCCGAGTGGCTCAGATGCACGGGGTACCCAGCCTGAGGTGGCCCATACCATGTCCTTCCGCGACATCCTGGAGGAGTGGACTCGCCCAACCACGCCTCGGCTTCTTTGAGCTTTGCTGTCTTATTGGGCATTGCTATCGGCTTTATCGTTTTCAATTGAGCAAGTTGGTGATTCCGTCCACTAACCTCGAACCCACCAGAGACTCCCTAGAAGAAAGTTGTCTTCCAGACCCCTTCTCGCTCCGAACCACTCTTTCGCGAGAAAGGACCCTCTCCCCAAAGGTGCTTTCCAGCACCCCCAAACCATTTCCGGGGCAAGGTGAGGGAATTTACACGTTACACAGCCACCATAGCTGTGCATCCGATGAAATTGCTGAGGGTTGCTCGAGGGTAGAAACCATCTTAAGCCTGGTTCTTTGCAAAGGCGGTCTGAATCATTACCTTGGGTCACGAAAGGAGTCCTCTTCGTGGCCGTCCAATAGGGATGGATTGGGATTGGCCAAGACTCCATTTGGGTATGGGTCAAAATCAAATAAAGCACCAGGAATTGGACCGCAGGTTTTAGTCAATGTTTCAATTATCAGGGGCAAGCCATGTTCGGGTTACCCTATTTTTGACCCACACCCATTTGATTCATCTCGTTGATCAACTTGGAATCGGAGATGGACAACTTTCAGCCAGTGGAAGCATATGTGTTGCAACTGTCCCAAGCTTCCACGCCTCCACGCATGTCAAAGCCATTTGGCTGTGGGTCAAAGCAAATGGTACCATCTTGAGGGTAGGTGAATTCACCACCCATCTTAGAACCTATTTTAGTGGTTGGATTGAATCGGATGTTCACTGGGGGTCCGATTTGGATTTTGGCCCATGGCCATTGGAGCCGCCGCCTGCCTCGAGGACCCCAGATGGCCCCAAGAGGCCGCCGCCCGGCTGCGTGCCCGGCGCATCTTCCCGCTGCGATTGGAGGTGATGAGCTCGGACTTCGCCGAGCCCCGGAAAGCGCGAGGTCAAAGAGTGCTAGGAACTGAGGTACACTCCCTTCCAGAATCTTAGGACTACAACAAGTGTTTCTTGTTTATTTATTTTTGTTTGGGGGGGGGTCCAGGTTGGCAGAAGCTTTTTGCCTTTTGCTTTGGTGTCCTTTGCTTTTCCCTGGCCAATTGATCTGCCAGAGTTTTTGGAGCAACCCCCTCTTGTGGATATGTTTTTTGAGGGCAACGCCATTTGGGGCCAGCGGAAACCAGTTCGGTGTCCCGTGAGACGAGCCATGGTGAACAGACAGGTCCAGGGCAGCGCAGGGCGGGTCACCCGCGGGAGCCCACCACAGTGAGGTTCGGCATGGTTGATAGGTTACCGATCGATCTGCGGGTGTCTGCAACGTCAAAAGTTCCGCCCCTGGGCCTAGCTGAAGACGTGAAAAGCAAGGATGGGGCAAGGCTTACAGAAAAAGTCGGGCTGTGAAGAAGCATCTTTTCTTTTGGTTTGCCCAATCGACCACAAGCGACCCTCAAGTTTCAACCCTGCACTGCCCTCTTTTTTTTGTAGATGGTCAAACTTTGGCTTCCGTGTCGCTTGTTTGTGTGCGTGTTTGTGTGTTTGTGTCTCTGTGTGTTTGTGTGTGTCCCTATGTCTGCGTCTCTCTGCGTGAGTGTCTTCGGTTGTTTTGTTTGTTTGTTGGTTTTCTGCATGTGGCCTGGATGTTAGCGTCAGGTGCTGGGAGAGGAACACAGAAACAAGTGAAAGGATTGACGGGATCACTCCGGCACAATTTGGAGGTCGTTTTGTAATGGTCCTCTACTGGTTGCTTGCGGAAGGACTGTTTGAGTTATTCTTGTGCTTGGGCGAGGATAGATGGCGCAATTGCCTTCTTGTGGGTTCCTACTTCATGTGTTGGATTTGTACAGACACTTCCCTGGTTTGAACATCACCTTCGCTCGGGTTTTGGGATTGCTTGAACGTTTGCAGGAATCAGTGATGCGCCTTCTGATTCTGTGTCTCAGGAACTGCGGCGAATTCTCTGCCAGCGCCTGGGCTTCTGCAAAGGGCTCCCTGCGATTCCCCACGTGGTGCCCCGGGGGTTTCGGGCCTACCTGGCGGCTAAGCCGCCCTCCATGCAGGAGCCAGTGCAGGTGGGAAGGGGTAGAAAGGACCCGCACGGTGCACACTGTTTTTGCAAGGGAGTGTGTCTTTTTGGAGGGTACCCCCTCTTCCACGGGTGTAAGCTAAAACTAGACAAGCAAAACCACAGTTCTGGGTGGCCCCCAGAATCTGACAGCAATTTCCGGATTCTTTTGTTGGCGTTCTTCGCTGGCAAACTTGCCTTTCCAGGTTCTTTGGGCAAAAAGTGATGTTTCTGTTGGGGTGGGCAACAACACCGGGGGTAAAGACACGCCTCTCCCCCCCGGGCGGCAACCGAAAGAACATGTATGAAACTGCCAAAGTGCACTTCCTTTCCCTAGATCCCGAAGAGCCTGCACCGGAAGCCGGTGTTCTTGCCCGCTTTTCGGAATGTTTCCCCGAATGGATTTGATGGAAAGGCATGCACTTACTAGTGCAAACCAGCAACTGGCGATTTTTTGGGTGGTGTGCTGTAAGCGCACGCAGTCACGAAGTGCCTTTTGAGACGCCAATTTTCCGGCTACAAGTGTATCTAAGTTGCGTCTATTAGCCAATCATCTCGTGGAATAGTGGCTTTTGGCGAGCGCTGAACTTGGCGCATGTTTTGTCTCCATGGCTCCAAAGATGTGACAGAACTCATTCGGCCATCTTGCCTCCATTCCAAAATAGTTTGTGAAGTTCAGATGGGGCAGCGCCCGTGGGCCCAGAGCTTTTCATGTTCCTTTGCACGCTGTGCGAGCGTGCTTGGCAAGACTTCCACTGTGTGCGTGTATGTTTTTTGTGCCTTTTCCTTTGTTTTTTCGCATGACAAACTGCCCGTATTTGCAAACACAAACAGACCTGGGGCTGGGTTTCGCCCGTCGAAATCAAACATCAGAAGGGGGTGACACATGTTTGTTGGGGTGTTGAACCATTTTTGGAAGATTTGGAGTTTCGACAAAACTCAAATGATATGTCATTGGGCTCTAACAAGTTACTTCATTCAGTTGATCCTAAAGGAAAGACCTCACACTTCAACGTCTTGGAATCGGGGCGTCAAATCTCGGGGTCTTCAGAAAGACTTCAAATATATCGCAGTTCAAGAGTTGCGACTCTCCAGCTGGAGCTGCCCAACGCTACTTTCTTTTTGCACCTGTGCTGAAAAGTTGTGACTTTTGAGCCGGAGCTGCCAAAGAGCATTCCTCGATCTTCTAAATCATGGAGAGTTAACGTAAAACCCGGAGACCGCCTCCTTTTTGAGGGGCCTCAGTGAAAAAACACGGAGTTTTCAAACTCCTACTTCTTGAGGTAAAGCTGCTAAAATTGATTGTCGCTTCTGAAATTGGTTTGCGCACCTGAAACCCCCCAAAAAATCGCATTTTTTCGGACTTTCGCTTTATCCAGAATTCGAATTATTCGAAATATGAGCCTTTGGGTGACAAATTGGAAAGACAATTGAGAACAGCACACCTGAAACTCAGCGAAAAAACACCTGCAAAAATCACAGACTCCCGCAGCAACCCGCAAACTTGCGCAAAAACCCGCAAACCCCCGCAAAGCCAAAAGAGACGGAGTTTCCGGAGAGTGCATTTTCAGCAAAATGCTGTGGAATACCCACTCGAGAGCGCAGAGTTGAGTATTTGATGGGATGGTGTACGGAGTTGACTAATTGGGGGACAAACAGCGAAAAACACAACTGGACTTGTTTCCAATGATTGTTTCCCCCAAAATCACTCCTAGTTTTTGATTCCGCTCTTGCCTTTTGCAAGCCACTCCTGCTTTTTGATCCACCATGCGAAACTCTTAGTTTTCAGAGGGTCTTATGGAAATAGCCCAGTTCTCCTGCCAAAGCGTACTTCCTTCACTACGTACTGAAAAGTTGCGACTTCCGAGCAGGAGCTGCCAAAATGTACTTGCTTTAACACTTGCACTGAAACGTTGCGACTTCCGAGCCGAAGCTGCCAAAGCGTACTTCCTTCGCTGCACTTGTGCTTGAAAGTTGCGACTTTCGAGCCAGAGCTGGCAGAGTTTTTTGTCTTTACTACACGTGTTCTGAAAAGTTGCGATTTTCGAGGCGGAGCTGGCTGCCAAAGTTTTCGGAGGGTCTTATGGAAATAACCCAGTTCTTCCAATCCGCCCATAGGAGCTTTGGAGCTCGGAGGCCTTGGAGATTATGCGGCCCGGTCAGGGATGGTTCGACATCCTAAACTGGGCCCTTGGCTACATGGTCCCCTAAAATGGTGTCACTTTAAATTGGCATACCCCAAAGGCCTCACGGGAATGGCAACTTCCTTGAACCAAATTGTCCCGAATCCATTTTGAGAAACACTCGCTTAGGTACCAGGGGGCTAGAACCAGCTTCTGTGGTACCTGGTTAATTTCCCATCATGGACCCCCCCGTGCGGGGCAAGAAGATGTTCCAATCCCTCCTAGGACCCTCCCCTTTCGATTTGTTCGCCCCTTGCAAACGTGTTCCGGAGTTACCCTTGAAAAGCTCGGCTTGTAAAAGCGAGTTGCGGGGTTTAGAAACGCACAGGGGGAGTTCCGGTTCACCATCAGTTTGACGGTGGCGTTGTGTGTCACGGTCATTTAGGTTGGACCTAGCAAGAAACAGAAGACATTAAAGTGTCGCTATTTCAGGGTCAGACTGTAGCATAGGATCAACGAAAGTAACGATTGTCACACGGCTCTCTTTCTTCCGAAGAAAATTCACACTTAGGCTTCCTTCTTGCCTTCGCTCCACTTTTTTGTGGTAACCTAAAAGGTGATCAAGTATCCAATATTGCCGCCCCCTTTCATTGCAAGCGACTAAGTGGCCTGGCTGTGACATGTTCTGACTTTGCTGGAGGCCGGCCTGACCATGTTAGCACAGCGGCAGTTTTTCAACGGCAGAAGCTTCGACTCCCAGATCGCATCGAATTGAACCACCAACATTTTGTTCGGTGGGTTTGCTCACCAGTTCGAACCTATACGCTTGGGTTCCCTGAGCCAGCATCACGCACAAATGATATATAACCAGCCGTTGCATCGGCAATCCACCAAAGTCCCTGAAATGGTTGACAACGGAGACAACAAAAAGACAGAGGAAAAAAGAAAGAAGTAGCGGGAAAAAAAGGCTAGAAAGAAGAACATACAGGAAGAAAGAACGAAATGACGCACGCAAGCAAGCAAGCAAGGAAGGAAGGAAGGAAGGAAGGAAGGAAGGAAGGGAGGGAGGAAGGAAGGGAGGGGGGAGGAAGGGCAGGAAACTAATAGAGAAAGAAAGAAAGACCTAACAACATGCACAAAAAAAGAAAGAAATGAAAATGAAACAAATATGAGAAATGAACGAAGTATATGAAACCATGCAAGCATATATATATATATATAGAGAGAGAGAGAGAGAGACAAGGAAGCAACCGAGCGTGCAAACAACAAAATGCAAAAAAAGCAACAAGACGCAAACACACAAATACACAAACACACATCAAGGGCTTGAAGATGGAAGCAGAACAGGTGTTTGGTGATCCGTTCTCGGCTGCTTGGGGTCTTCGTTTTGTTTAGCCTCAGGTGGCGCATGTTCGACTCGGACTTTTCAGAGCTCGGCTACTCAAGGGACGCCTTGGTCGAGAAGCCCATCTCCTTGCCCACGCCATGGGCGACATGTGTTTAGTGAGTCTGGGCTCGAAGGATGACATGACCAGAGGAATGAGAAATGCCCATTTGCAGGGTTCATCCATCCCACCAGCTACTCACCTTATGGGTAGTCAATTCCTCCATCCCGCTGTTTTCTTTTCATTGATTCACTCACAACAACTGCTTCAAGTTGTTGAAGTTAGTTTCGGACTAACTTGATTTCGGAGTAACGGGCTTGTGAGCTATCAGGGGTGAAGTCATCCTACTGTTGGCCTATGTTGGCCTGCATGGGTGCTTGCTCACAAGTTTGGCCACAAGAAGCTCAAGTTGATGGGTTGTTGGCTTGTTGATTTGCCCGGGCCGTTTCACCAAATGAGGATTTCTCAGACTTAACTTCTCAGACTTGCCGATTTGTTTAAGCTGCAGGCGACTGCAAGGATGTCACGCGCTCCCAGATGCCTGCAGGGTTCACTATATCTCCCAGCATGGTGGTGTTACAACTCACCTTTTTGCAGCAAATCAACGCGAGTTGAAAGGCTCTTCTTGGATGCAGTATACCGGCCTTTCAAAAACACAACCCTCAACCGCGCTCAGAAATGAATAAGTTGCGGAGAGACTTAAGTTTTACCTTTTTCAAGATCGCGCTGATTGAGAGACATTGAGAGATTCGCTTGAGAGTTTGTGAGAGGTTCCATTTTTTTGATTCCCGCGCTCCAGGCCCGTGCCATTTCCAGAGTTGCCTTCCTGTGTTCTTTGCTTCCACGTGTTTGAACAAATTTGTCTCACGTAGTACGGCACCCTCTAGCAGCAAATGCGCGCAAAGAAACTGATTTCTTGGCATCAAACTCAGCCACTTATACAGTGTTTGCCATCCGAGATTTTCAACAACAGCACGCGCAGCGGCCAAGTTACAGCAAGAAGCTTCACTTGCTACCTGTACAGAAACATTTTCTGTGACCATTGTTGCAGTCTGCAAGCTAATGATTTTGAATACGGTTTCAGCGAATTTCTGGTGTTGAATGCGGTTTGCATGTGAAATCACACGTCCGGCGTGCTAAATGCCCCGCGCATGCTGAATTAGTTGGATTTGGTATGAACATTGCGCGTGATTAAACAAAAAAAGTATTTTAGTACTAAATTATTGCGATGTTTTTTTTAGACGCCTTGCAGCTTAGAGGATGTGTCAGAGAGTGCCAATCTGTGCTTTGTGTCTTTTGGTAACTGCCTCTGACATCCGTTCGCAACGGTTTGCTGACCGCTCCTGGCCCCATGGCTCCAATGGCCGGTGGCTTTCCGTTAAATCCGCATGTCGAAGCCTTCGGACTGGGCTTGGGGAAGCTGAGTGCAGGGATTCCGCAGGTTCACTTTCAGACTTTCAGCAATTTCAGCACTTGAGTTGACCGGCGCTTGCTTCTCGGGCTCAAGTTGGGATGCTCATCGATCGCTCTTGGGGGGCGCTCGAGCAACGCCATGGAGTGGAGCTTTTCGATTCAATCCAGCGGGTCCGTGGCCATGTGGGTGGTGAAGGCTTCCGCCCTGCTGCTCTTTGAGCTTTGGCATGTGCAAAGGCTTTTGTTTTGCGGGCATTAGTTGACAATCAGGATTATCTTCATGGTTTGGATTGGCGGTTTGTCGGGTTGAACCCCTGGCTCTTGTAGAAGGTAACTGGGCAACTTCCGCTTAACCACCAAACAACCAATCCAAATCACAAATAGTTAAACGTTGTGTCAGCAGAATTCCTGGTTGGAGTCTGGCTGAAAGTGAATAGACAGAGCATGACAAGTGCCAATGGGATGATTATCCTGTACGCCTGTAAGTCCCAACCAAGGCTTCCTTTTCCCTGGGTGAGCTTCTTTGGGGAAGGGATCTGGGGACCCCCTTTTTTTGGCGCAGCTTCAGACGGAGAAGCGTGCTGGATGCCCCGTGCGACTGATGGTTCTCAACCCCCGGCCCGCGATTGACTGAGGACACGACGCCTAGCCACGAGGAGCTTGCAGAAAAATGGGCTGCTGGCTCCAGGCAGGCGCGAGCTCCGTGAAAGAGTTGTGGAATCTTTTGGCACAGGCTCGGTTTGCGACGGCCATGAAGCTTCTCCGCGTTTTTCACACAAACACCAACATGCTTTGCTTCTGGCTGAGGTGAGCAGATTGGGACGGACATCATCTCAGAACTCTGGCTGCAAACTGTCCGACGCAGCGGAAAGCACCAATCCAAACTCAAGGAGGCGATGAGGCAGCAGGTGATCACCTTTGAGCCGTCCAGTTCCAGTAAAGGACAGGAGTGCGTCTTTTTATGATGGTACCTTTCTTGGGGTGAAACAAAGGTAAAACCACAAATTTTCAGGGTCCCGTATGTGAGACTGATTTAGTGTTTACTGCCCTGGTGATCACCTTTGTTTGCTAGTTGTTCAGCACCCTTCTAATCAAAGGAAGTTGAGAAGAAACTTCCGTGTTGCGGCAACTGAAAGAAGCCTTGCGTGTGGCGAGGCAAATGCGCAGGAACTGCAACCCTCTGGTTTCGGTGGGTGCTTTGGGATGCGCGAAAGTTAGCCTGATCGCGCCGCCTAGTCGGAGCGCGTTTGGGCGACCTCGGAGCGTGCGGGGCTCATTGGCGCGTGACCGCGCGCTTTTCGCAACATCGGGCGCAGCGCTGTCGCAAGGTCAGGTTCATATTTCGAGGCAGGCGCAGCGCTTTGACAAGGTCAAGCGCAGATCTCGTGGCAGGCGCAGCGCTTTGACAAGGTCAGGCGCAGATCTCGTGGCAGGCGCAGCACTTTCGCAAGGTCAAGTAGAAGTTTCAAAAATGAAAAAAACTATAGGTTTGTTTCTTATGTATGTTCTTCTTGGTGCTTCTCTTCCTCATTCTTTCCTTTCTTGTTTTTCATGCTTCTTTTGTTTCCATCTTTCTTGCTTTCTTCCTTCTATTCTTTGTTCCTTTCTTGCCTTCCTTCTTTTCTTTCTGTTCTTTATTTCTGCACTTTCTTTCTGTACCTATTTCTGTTCTTTTTTATCCATGTACATATCCATCTCTCTATTTGTCTGTCTAACTATCTATCTACGCTTTCCCCTGCAATCAAGCTCTTCTCTATGCACCTACCTATCTGCATATCTGTCTACATATCTACCTACCTCCTACTTACCCGCGATCTGCCTACCGATCTACCTGTCTATCCATCTATCTCAGTTCTCTCTATCTTGAAACCTATCTATCAGTTTACCGGATCGACCTATCTATCGTTCTCTCTCTCCCTCTCTCCCTCTCTCCCTCTCTCCCTCTCTCCCTCTCTCCCTCTCTCTCTCTCTCTCTCTCTCTCTCTCTCTCTCTCTCTCTCTCTCTCTCTCTCTCTCTCTCCCCCTCTCTTATTACTTATCTATCGCTCGACCTTGCGAAAGTGCTGCACCTGCCTCGCAATCTGCACCTCACCTTGCGAAAGTGACATCCGCGCATGACCTTGCAACAATGATTCCCCTGCCGCCCACCAGCTTCGCCGGCTCGGCTGGTATCCTTCTCTTCCGTGGGTTCCCCATGAAAGATGGAACAAACCTCCAGAAGCGGAGCCCTTGTCACCCGGGTCGCCGGGCTGCGTAGACTTGCTGTTGGAGAAGTCTTTGCCTACGAAACTTCCAGCACTGCGGCTTCCTGGCTCCAAATCATTCCGAGGAGTGGTCGACGACTCGCTTTGCTTGCCATTTCGGCTCGGAGGATCTCGTGGAGATGCTGCTGGAGGCAAAAGCCGCTTGTGAGCTGCGGAACGCTCGAGGGCGCACAGCGCTGCAGATGACGCAGTCCGCAGCGGTGCTGGATGTCCTTCACCGCCATCAGACCTCTTTCTCCGTTTGAGCGCCGAAACGAGCAGCGCGCGGATCGGTGTTTCGGATGTGTTGTAACCCGGGATCTGGTTGGCAGATGTTGGAATCTTTGACATTCATGACTCAGCGAACCGCGCGCTGCTCAAGCGCATGACTCGCAAATCGGAGCTCAGCGCAGAGTTTAGGAAGAATTGCTTCAAATGACCGCACCTTAATTGTGGCAGCGTGGGTTGTCGAATTGCTCAGCACTTCAGGTTCTTAAGGGATGCCCATGTGCATACCATGCGCTGTGTGCCTTTTCAGTTACTTGATGCTGCTGCTCGTCTGTTGGCTCAGCTTGCTGCAGCTGGCCAAGCTAACCTCTGTCCCGTTAGAGCTCGGGGCAGGGCGACCAAGGGCAGAATCAGGCAACGCCTGTCGCCCATCTCTCCCTTGTGAGCTTTCATCATCAGTTGGGTCGGACGCAAAGAGCCTTAAGTGGTGGGCGCTTTCTCTTACTTTTCAACGCAGCTGTGTTCGGGGATTACGGCCTCTTATAAGCTAGCGACCAAGTCGCGTGCCGCACGAGCCCTTTTTGACCGGCTTTGCCCATCCAAAGGGTGACTGACTTGCAGCCTGGGGCGGAGTTAAGACAATGTTTATGTTCTGGTGGTGAGTTAAAATCCCTCAGGGTCCAAAGGCCTTTCGAAGATAGGCCTCTGACAAGAGGCCTCAAAAAGGTCAAAAGGCCTCATTGAGTATCATGCCGAGTATATGTGCTGAGTAACCATCCCCAGGGCCCCGTTTTGCTAAAAAGTCACCCTTGCGTCTAGTAAAGCCGAAATGTGAATACATCCACAACTATCATGCACCCTGCCTATGCAACAAATCGTTTGGGTTGAATTTTATCGCTGCATCTTCAGAGAGCGGCTAAACCAGCGCAAGTTGGCAAAGAGAGCATGGATCAAGCTTCACCAAACGTCCACGCAGGCAAAAGTTTCAAGGATTTCAAATTCGGAGGGGCCCCAAACAAAATACGTCCCGGATCGTGTCAATTCAGGGGTACCCTCAAATATATGTCCACAGGCAAACCATGACTTTTCGGGCCTTTCCACGGGCAATCCACGGGTTGTCCACGGCAACCACAAATGCAGTTATTTTTGAACAAATCGAGTTCGATCCCAGGAGCCTGTGAAATCACACACGCATAGTCTGAATTGCTACCTGCCAGGAGTGCCAAACACGTGCGTTGCCCCTGCATCAACACCTCCTAGCCAGGCTGTAGGGCTAGCTGCCAGGTGCGATCTCCAGTGGCTGGCCCTTCGAGAAAAAAAAGTGGCCCCAAGGATAGTCAAGATTGCCACACATACTTTTCAAGGCCTAGGCTTGAAAAGGAACATGCTATTTAAGGCCGAAGGCCTCACCTAGCAAGGCCTAAGGCCTTACTTAGCAAGGTTCTAGAGCCTCCAAAAGTAGGCCTCTCCAACAGAACAAGGCCTAGGCCTCACCAAGAGAGGCCTTGGACGCTTAGGGAAATGTCATAAACAATAAAACTTACAACTCGAACAAGGCATATTTGCATACAAATTGGGAAGATCCCCAGCTCTGTTTGCGCCATTGTCTCGCTCAAGATGAGGTGCAAATGAAATACCGGGTTTCTGGAAGAGGGAGGGGAACGGCCGGATTCGAGGATAGCGGACGCAGGGTGGCCTGTTAATCGCTAGAAGTGTCACCTAGTGTTGGTAGTACCTAGACGGGCCATCTCCGGCTAGCAGTGCGGAACGGCGCTTCTGGAAGCACTGGGCTGTAGTGGCGGAGCAAGCTCTACTTCGCTCCCTGCCAAATGTTGGCGATGAAGGGAGATCCTGTTCCTCCCTTTTGTCCGCTTCCGCTGCCCCACGCAACAGCAACCCGGCCGGCACTGCCGCTTCAATCATCCAATTTGTTTTGCTCTTCCAAATGCCGACTTTCTTGTACTATGGAAATTAGCCAGTTCAACCAGTATGTCCGAGCGATTCGCGAGCGATTTGGAGGCAAGAAAACGGAGAGCCTTTTGCGCGGACTAATTCTGCTTGCACGCCCTAGCGCTCCTCTCCCAGGAAAGGCGACAAAAAAGCGCCAAATTTGGTGGAGTGCGTTTGGCAGCCAAGTCTTCTGGGGGTGGCTAACTGTGCATCTCACATCTTTATGGTTTGCTACGTTGGCGGGGGAGGGATTCCGAAGCTTCATATTCACAGTTCAGCGACTCAGTTCGGGCTCAAGTTGATGGGGTGATCGCTTTGCGTTCGGAGCTCACGGCTCACGGCATGGAGCGGAGCTTCTCGAGTGCCCCCATCGAGTCCGTGTCCGTGCCCATGTGGGTGGTGAAGGCTTCCACCCTGCTGCTCTTTGAGCTTTGGCATATGCAACGGTCCTTTTTTCGGGAATTGTTTGACGATCAGGCAACCCTTGGTGGTTTAGATTGGTGGTTTGTCGGTTTGAACCCCTGTGCAGGGTAAATGGGCAACCCCCGCTTCACCAAACAACCAAACAACCAATCCAAACCACAAGTTAGTAAGCTGACAAGACAGGCTTGAACCCAGGCTCGTGTCAGCAGAAACCCTCGTTGAAGTCTGGCTGGAATTGAATAGAAAAAACATGACAAATACCAATGGAATTGCGAGTCAGCGGTTTAATATTTTTTGGCCACCAAGGTTTCCCTGGCCCTAGATGAGCTTCTTTAGGGAAGGGAGCTAGGGACCCCCCTGTTCTGCGAAGCTTCATCAGAAGCATGCTGGACACCCAGCCTTGTTGGTTTTGCGCGGCGATGGTTCTCAGAGCTTTTGTCCCACGCCCAAAGGTTCCGACTTTCGGCTGGCCCTTGCGCCTGAGGACACAATGCCTTGCCACGAGGAGCTTGCGGAAAAAGGATTGCTGGTCCGGCTCCAGGCGCGAACTCCAGGGACTTGTTCATCGGTTCGGTTTGCCGCCATGAAGCTTTTCCTTGATTGAAATGCTGCGTCTTTGTTCAGGTGAGCTATGTTCATCCAGGGTTGGCGGGTTGACCCAAATGATGTTGGAAGACTGTCCGTGCGGCCTCGCTTTCCAAATGCAGCTGACAGACTCCCACTGAGGGAGTGTGTTCCATCTGCAGCTGCATAAGCCTCGCAAAATGGTCTTGACTGCCCGTGTAAGCTCCGCCAGGAAGGCATGTTCTGCATCTTCGTGTCCCACCAATGGCTGGGTACCTTTCATCCAGACCCAACGGGCGAGCAGCTGCGAGTGCTGCAGGATGCCTTGCGGAACCTTATGAGAGGCGAACGGGGTTCGAATTTAGGCACTCCGGGGACCTTTTGTTCCCGCTGCGAATGTGAGGAACTTAGATGACTTCCAAGTCTAGGCTTTTCGGTTCTGGCATGCAGTTTTGCTGACGATGTTGCAAGCCGCCTGCAATGTATAACAAGTATCCCGTGGCCGGAAGCAGGCCTAATATGCTCCGAGGTTCAGAAGAGCGTTGTCGATTTCGCCCTCTAACGGGAATGTCTTAAATAACGGATGCCACTAAACTGTGGTTTTGCTTTTAGAGTTTCTTTAAAACAGCCCAAGCTGGTGTTTTTCACACCAACACCAACATGTGTTTCTTCTAGCTGAGGTGAGCAGATTGGGACGGACATCACCTTAGAGTTCTGGCTGCAAAGCGTCCGACTCAGCGAAATGCACCGATCCAAACTCAAGGAGCAGATGAGGCAGCAGATGTCAGTTAAGATATTTTTGGGTAAGGGTTTGTTTGTCTTTTTGTTGTCTGATGGTACCCTTTTCGGGTGGTTTTCAAGGCGTATAAAAGTAAAACCACTAATATTCCGGGCCCCCCATTTTGAGTCAATCAACTGCCTTACAATTTCAGTATAGTCTGATTTAGTGTGTAGTGCTTGGCCTTGCTGATCACCTTTGTTCGTTAGTTGTTCAGCACCCTTGTAATATCCTTTTCTTCCGTGGCCATCGCAGATGGAATTGGCCCTCCAAAGGGGAGCCCCAAGTCTGGATGAATTCAGAGACTTGCTGTTGGAGAAGTCTTTGCGAAATGCAGAGAGCCATTCCAGAACGCAGGACGCCTACATATGGCTGGATTGGCTCAGCATTCCTCAGCAGGACGCAGAGCGTGGCAACCACAACTCAGCGGACGAGCTAGGGCAAGTTGTAGAGAGCACACCCTCTACGTCGGTGGGGTCTGCCGGGTGCTTTGTCGGTCAGGACCGCGCAGCGTTTCTGGCGTTTTGCGCGTACAGTAGGTTCAGTTCACTGATTTGCTTAAGTAGTCGCGTTGACTGTTGGTGTTCGTCCCGCAATCAGGGTTCGGCCTTCGGTAAATGGATTGCAACACGGCACAGTGTTGGGTAAAAGATGTGAAAGCAATATTTGCACACAGCCGGCTGCGCCTCATATCTTTAGATGAAAAGCCGCCCGTGTCGCAGCAAACGGGAATCGCCAAGTTGGTAGGGGAGCTGTAGGCTCCTTTCCTGGGCACACCCTCTCCACGATGATGATGGCACCGGCCGGCGCCGAGTTCTACTTCGATGATCCGGTTGCTGACGAGCCAGTTTGACCAGGCCACGGTGCAGGAACCCCGCCCGGCGACCCCGACCTTGTCAACTCCTGCGCCGAGCTCAGCTGCCCGAAGCTACGCCATGGACAAGAAGTTGCACCTCGTGGCCATGGCAAGGAGGCGGCCAACCTGCGGCCCCCTCTCATGGGCAGAAGATCCTCAGTGGCCCAGACACGGGCCTTGGCACACACACACACCCTGACTATGCTGCTTTTCCAACGCAGCAGCCCTCCAGCGAAAACAGCCCAATCGCTCCATCATGCAACTTGGTCCTGGAAAAGGCAAGGAAGGGCTTGCCCCCCTACCGCCAGGCAATAGTCGCAGAAACCATCCTCAGCGAAACGGCTACAAGGGACGGCTACAACCACAACGAGACTTGCGGCGACATGCCGACCGATGAGCCTGAGAATGCAGACACAACAACAAGTTCGCCTGCCCAGACACGCCGATGCCTGCGCTTGTGGTTCTGAGGATTTTGATCCCCATCAGATGGCAGACGTCCACCGAGATTGCTCGCAAGCTCAGCGCGGCCTCCATTCAAGCCTGGTAATTGTCTCAAGCCCTAAACCCTAAACCCTAAACCCTAAACCCTAAACCCACGTGGACACGGCCCTGTCCGCACCCACGAACGCCCCCACCCCAGAAGCCCAAACTTGGAGTCCAAATCCCCACCAGCCGTCTGCCGAAACTCGGAGCTCACGACACGGGCAAACAGGTTCAAACCTGATAGAAGCCACAGACCGGCGTGCAAATTGCTTGCCCAAAGCTACCGTTGCACGGCCTGTCCATTTACCTGCCCAGTGGCCCTTTTGCTTTTTCTTTTTCTCTCTATCCAGCTGCCTGCCTACTCATCCATGCATCTCTCTGTGCATCTATTCGTCTGCCTGTCTATTTGTTTGTCTGTCCATCCGTCTGTCCATCTACGCATCTGTGCGTTTGCCAAACAATTTGTTTAATCTAATCTACTCTTCTCTCTCCAGCTATTTTTCTACGTATCTCTCTATGTGTGTATCTGTCAATTCATCTAGCCATCCATCTGCCCATTACCTACCCATCTTTCTTTCTGTCTACTCGACTACCATATATCTCATGTAATGTAGCCCCATCTACCGACCTAGCCACCCATCCATCCATCTAGCTACCTACCTCTCTCCTATCTATCTAAATCTCAGTCTAATTGCCTGTCATCTATCAATCTATTTGTCTATCCTTCTATCTGTTTATTTTTCTATCGAAGTATGATTGCGGTAAACCCTGTCCGTCAACACGTTAGGTTGAGACCGTCGAGCCCGTCAATCCCGTGAATCCCGAAGCCCGTCAAAGCCGTTGTGCCCGTCAGGCCCGCCCGGCCCGTTGGGGCCGTGGGCCGTCCGCCAGCGGCCGCTTCTCGACCCATTCGGGATCGAAGGCGGCATTCTCAAAGTGCACTTGCCCGCTATGGTGACCCCAGCGCCTCGAACACCAAGCGTTGCATTCCGGCCACTTGTAATCGGGGCCGGCCCACCGCCCGCCCATAGGCCGTTTGCCAGCCATGCCTTCATGACCACTTTGTGTGCACCACTTGGCCGGCATGACTGTCAGGTTTGAAACCATGTGCATCATGCACATGGCCAACTCCAAGACAACTATCAGTTTGAGCCTGGTGAAGTTTTACCACTCGTACCACCACCATCCCTGCCAGCTGTCATCCAGCGCCAGCTGCGCCACTGCCACGGCCAGAGGTTCGGCCTGCCTCATGGCACAAAGTAGCGCACTACACTTTCGACGTGGATGCTCACGCACACCCAGCCGAGCATTGCAGCAAGCAAAACCCAACAAGAATACTTAACCGGCAGCATCAGCAGCAACAACAGCTGATGGAGCAGCAACAACTATGACTGATAACTTGCAACCCCTCAACCGCGTCGATCCCGCCGACAGGCGTAGCACTCACGCGCCCGCCGGCGCCAACAGCTACACTACGCAGATGTACGCAGCAACGCCGGCGCAGCAGGTGCATCCCACGATTTACCACGACCGTGGCATCCCAACACACAGCCCGACGGCGATGTCACACCGCTGCTGGACATCCAAGTGCCAGCCAGGTCTGGCAAACATACCCGAACTCGCCGAGGACAACGGCCCTACATCTGACAAAGCCCGCTCATGAGGCGGCAGCTTCGAACCACCACACTTCTTACGGCACGGCGTTGAAGACTTGGTTCAAAACAAGATCCTTCAAAGCATGACCTCACGGGTGGCCAGGACACACAACAAAGATAGTGTCCGCTGGACTTTCCCAGCGCTTCATGACCCACAATACTCAATCGCCTTTGAATAGGAGATCCCGGCCCCCAAACAAAGAAGAGCGGAGCCGAGCTTGCTTCCGCAACAAGGGGAAGCTGCCCAACGGAGCGTTGCAGCGGCTCGCATCAGAGAGCCGCCCGAAGCTGGCCGCAGCGAAGCCTCGAGAACACCGCCAAGGAGTTGCACACGCTCTATAAGGCCTGAGATCAGCAATGCGGACCTGGACAAAAGCTGATGCTTCGTGGTGAGCGCAGCCCCTCAAGGCACGAAGGCCATCACGACGGGGAATGTGATCAATTGGCGAGCGTGCAGAAAGCAGAGCCTGCGCACTACCTTCCGCTTGCCACAGCTCCAGGAGGTCACCGACTGCCGCTCCTCTTCATGATGCATCTGAGCGCGGAATGGACAACCGGAAGCGCACCACGGTGGATTCCCGGAGCATCCATGAACGAGAAGTCCAGCACATGTGTTGGCGGATGGGTTGACAAAGTGAAACAAGACGGTACTCTGTAAAAGTGGCATTTGCACGCAGCCGGCTGAGCCTGAGATCTTAGATGAAAAGGCACCTGTGTCGCAGCAAGCAAGATCGGCCAAGAAAAGAAACGGCCCCTGCCTCATGACGATTGTTTTGGCTTCAGCGCCCTTTGCAGTCTTGGGCGGTGTTGCTGCAACGACTTTCGTGGTCAGGCGGACTATATCAACATGATTCCGGAGTACGTGAAGGCGTCGGACATGTTTCTGCGCCAAGTCCAGTAGCATCTATGGTTTGTTTTTGTGTTTTGTGTTTTTACAGGGTGTCGGACGGCAATGCTTGAGAGAAACCAAGCCACAATTGCATGTTTTCCAGGCCGCCGTTTTATGTGAGTCGAGGTTTTTAGCGCTTGCGCCACGCTCCCGGCACACTGTCACCGGCGTCCGCTGCGACTACTTCAGTTGGTCTGGGAGAGGGTGGTGTCGTCTTGAGCTGTGGTGCAAGATGCTATCTGCCTCTTGGTCGCATCGTGGGCTGAGGCGTCTTTGTTTGGAGGATGTTTGGAGGTTGGTTTGCTGACTTGTTGGTTGTCACATTGATCTGCTGGTTGTGAATTTGCTGGTGGTCACACAGATTATTGGCACTTCGTCTGATTTGTGTGTTCGCTGGCTTCTGCACATGTTTGCTCAGACTGGTGGGTCGGCTGGCGTTTGGCTGACTGACTGGCTGACTGCATGGTTGGCTCGCTCATTTGGTTCATTGACTGATCAGTTGATCGATTGGTTGCTTGCTTGATTGATTGATTGATTGACTGATTGATTGATTGATTGATTGATTGATTGATTGATTGAGTGAGTGAGTGAGTGAGTGAGTGAGTGTGTGAGTCAGTGAGTGGTTGAGTGGTTGAGTGGTTGAATGAATGGAATGGAATGAAATGACATGAAATGAATTGAAATGAAACGAAATGCAATGCAATGCAATGCAATGAATGAATGAATGAATGAATGAATGAACGAATGAACGAATGGACGAACGGACGAACGAACGAACGAATGAATTAATGAACGAATGAACGAATGAATGAATGAATGAATGAATGCATGAATGAAGGAATGAAGGAACGAAGCAATAAAGCAATGAAGGAATGAAGGAATGAATGAATGCATGAATGCATGGATGCATGAATGCAATGAATTCATGAATGAATGAATGAATGAAGGAATGGAACGGAACGGAAGGAAACGAAACGAAATGAAGTGAAATGAATTGAAGACCATGCATGAATAATGAATGTACGTATGAATGTAGGAATGAATGAATGAATGAATGAATGAATGAATGAATGAATGAATGAATGAATGAATGAATGAATGAATGAATGAATGAATGAATGAATGAATGAATGAATGAATGAATGAATGAATGAATGAATGAATGAATGAATGAATGATTGGATTGTTTCTGCATTTTAGCTATTTCATCGATGTGACTGGATTGACTGATATGATTGATAAAATGGTTGACTGATTCATTGATCCGTTGATTGAGTGAGTGAGGGATTGATTGGTTGCTTGATTGTTTGATTGATTGATTGAGTGATTGAGTGAACGAATTAATGAATGGTCAGTTGCTTCTGTATGTAGTCATTTGCTCTGGTTCCTGTGACTGTCTGATTGTTTGTTTGATTAATTGATTGATTGATTGATTGGTTGATTGATTGGTTGATTGACTGGTTGACTGGTTGATTGGTTGATAGGTCAGTTGGCTGGTTGGTTGGTTGATTGGTTGATTTGATGGGTTGGTTCATTGGTTGATTTGATGGGTTGGTTGATTGGTTGGTTGATTGATTGATTGGTTGGTTTGATTGAACTATTGATTGACCTTCTGATTGACGGGTTGATTCGATTGGTTGGTTGATTGGTTGGTTGGTTGGTTGGTTGGCTGATCGGGTTTTTGGTTGGTTGTTTCGTTGCTTATCTGATGGGTTGATGTGATTTGGCTTGACTTGTTTTTGATTCGGTTCGATTTGTGTCGGCTTGATCTGTTCAGATTGACTGCCTGATTGGTTTGGTTGGCTGTCTTAATTGGTTCACTGAGTCATTCGTTCATTGGTATGTGTCATTGATTTATTGTGACTCATTATATAGTTGGTTTGTTCAGTCTTTCAATCATTCTTCCTTGCACTCATTCATTCATTCCTTCATTTGTTCGTTCCTTCAATCATTCATTGATTCATTGATTCATTCATTCGTTCATACATTCACTCATTCATGTACCAGTAGAGCCGGCGAAGCCGCTGGGCGGAAGTTTCAAAAATAAAAACACTATAGTTTTGTGTCTCTTTCTTTTCTTGATTTGTTTTGTCTTCTTCTTCCTTTTCACGGTTTCTCTTTGTTCCGTCATTCTGTGTGTCTTCCTGGCTTTCTTTCTTTCTTTCTTTCTTTTTTTCTTTCTTTCTTTCCTTCCTTTCTTTCTTTCTCTCTTTCTTTCTCTCCTTCCTTCCGCCTTTTTTTTTTTCTTTCTTTCTTTCTTTCTTTCTTTCTTTCTTTTGTTTTGCTTGTTTTTCCGTTCTTTCTTTTTCTTTTCTCTATCTATGTATCTATCTGTCTACCTATCTATCTATCTATCTATCTCTCTTTGTGTCTATCTATCTCTCTTTGTATCTTTCTAACTATCTGTCTATCTACCTTTCCATCAATCTATCTATTTGTCTCTCTATCTATCTATCTATCTACCTATCTATCTTTCCTCTCTCTATCTATCTATCTATCTACTATTTATCTATATATCTA